GGCTTGCTTACCACAACAAGCTATTGTGCATCAAACCGCATCCATAAATGTATACAATGTAAGCAAGCCCGTTATGGCTATGAATATGTACGTGATTCATGATGCATGCTGCTCATAACCAACAGAACACGCTTGCGCTATAGATTTGCGCAACAGTACGTAAAATCCCGATTCTCGCGTCCACTGGATGGGACAGCGAACTGAGCAGTGTAGCCATAAAAAATAAAGTAGCATAGAAAACATCGCATCTCAGCATTCATATAATGAAACAATTAGCAACCACCTGGCAAGCTGATAGATAAAATTATTCATCCCATTCACTAGGCCATTCCTCTGTACCGGAATTCTCACCCGACTCGGTCCGGAAATCCGCATCTTCTTCATCCGACGAATCGGAAGTTGCTCCGTAAGCATAGCAAAACTTTGTCCCAGTGTACAGATACGGCGGCGGCGGGTTGTAGTTAAGCTGCAGACCGAACGTACGCTGTTCGTACTCTCCGCCGGCTATCTCCGCTGCCAGCTCCTTCGAACTCGACACTTCCGTCACCGTCCACGTATTGTCGGCTTCATCGTACACTTCCAAACTCAGCACAGCGACGGTCTTCCTACAATCACCACTCGGTGTGGTCGTACCTCCGTAAACACACAGTTGACCGTTTTTAATGAACGCGCAGTGATGGTAGCGCGCCACGTTCAGATCACCAATCCGCTCCGGCCGCGAATGCGGCGTTTGCAGCGACACTCGATAACACGCCGCCATTGCCTTGTTGGCGCCTTCTATACGACCTGGATATTCCTCGTTGGCGATGCCGCCGAGGGTGTACACGTGCGTTGAAGACGATCATTTCACACAACAGACTGAAGTCCTCTTCATCGCCCCATTCAGCCTGCTTGGTCCACTTTCCCTCGCGGATATCGTAGATTTCAATCATACTTCGCGCAAAACCGTCATGTTTGCATTCAAAGTACCCCACCGAACAAAAGATGAGGTTGCCGGTCGCAGTGACGAAGCCCATCACGGACTCCCTGCAAAAAGTAAATTAAGGTTAACAATACTAATTAATAATTTAAAGGGGTGGCAATAAACAAGTACTAGAGAAGCACGCACGCATCCAGGCTGTCGTGCATCAAACGATTTATGCTTACCGGTGGTAGTGATAATCAAATTCCGGGTATCTTCCCTCCACGGTATAGTTCGGCATCTGTGATATGTGACTCAGCTGGTGTGTCTCAATATTGAACCCGAACAAACGGCCGGACGCCAAACAGTACGCCGTTTTCCCGGCAGTAATCATGCAGTCACACCACACAAAGGGTGACTGCGTGGCAATCAACGTACGGCAACGGCCGGTTATACAGTCCATGGCGACCACTTCATACTTCCGGTCTTTTCCGCCTATCGTGTCCGTAGTAACGACCAGCTCGCTCCCTATACCGACGGCATGACTCCATCCGCCAATGTACTTCTCACGCGACAAGAATGGTTCCCAGACTGGCGAATCCAACTTTGTCAGCTCGTTGCGCGCAAAATCGTACCGCAGGAGCAAATGAGGGTGCCCCTCTCGCCGATGGTAGAAGACCATCTCCGTTGTAACAGCACGTTTCAGCATGGCTCCACTGCCCAGGTGGCCATGCTGTCGACTTTCCATAATCTGCATCAAGACCTCCCGCACACGCCCCGTGGCGGTCACCATCAGAGACTCGAGATCCAGACGATCCCACACGATACATCTGTCCAACAAAACATTGTTACCCGCCCAGCGGCCACTGACCATATAACCGGCACACTGTGCCAGCGGTCGTCCAAGGACGTAATAATCGTATATATTTTACTGTTACAATTTGTATTTTTGTGTTTGTGCTTGACTGCGTCTTAACGATTGTGTTTTATGGTGTTATTTGGCGGATGTGCTTAAATGTGTTGGCATAAGCGTTTGTTGCGCGTTTTATTGCATTGCTTTGATGTGCCGATTGCATGGTAGACTGCACTTTCGAATATTTGCTGCAGTTTCTAACTTTGGAAGTTTTTATTGGTCAAATCGAACTGAAATTAATGAGAGAAAAATGAGTAATTAGAGATTAGGAATCACTGAGCATCCTTGAGCATCCTTGCTGCAGTCGTGTTTTCCATCAAATATACGCGTTTGCCTTTTCCTGTTACATTAACTAACTTTTCATTCGTTTTCCCTTTCTGTCAGTTTGTTGAGTGTTATTAAAAGCATAACGATAACGTATCGTTGATCGGATCCGTACCGGCACACAGCATAGGTTTTATTCGCTTTACGTACACACGTGCGGCACTGAGGTTTCAACATGCAAATGCTCCAGTCGCTTGGTGTCTTGCGTACACCAGCGCATCACCGCCAAAAACCAACGCCGTTAAAATTTGGAATTAGTTTGGCAGTTATCAATCCAAATAATCTCGAACAGAAAGCTAACTTTTAAGCAAGTAAATTAGTCTTACTGAAACAGTTTCCGAAAAAAAAGTTAAACCGTTACGCTATCACTACCGTTTCAGTGCCTCGCCGAAGACCTTGAGCAACCATTTCAAATTTTTTGCGCTTGCGTATGGCACAGTTGCTAGCCACATAATCAACGCTTAAATAATTATAAAATACCAGACCGTTGCTAAAGTTCTCGTAACTAAATATTAAAGCAGAGACCTGATAAACCGTGGCTTCCGAATCTGGGGCGAAGTTATCATGGGTCAGCAGATCGATGATTTCTTCCACACCACACTGCATAAACTCGTTCGACTTGGCACTGCGAATGAATTTCTTGAAAATCTTCTTGGCCAACCGGGTTTCCAGCTCGAGCAGTCTGTTTTTGCGGGCCACACGCCACAGACGAAATGCATTTTTCGGCCGCTCCGCCAGACGTAGCAAGAAACCCATCGCTTTTTCCTCAACTTGCTCCATCTGAAGGTATCTCGCTGCATTAAAATACTTCACGGTGTCCTTGGGGTCCCACGTTGGCATTTTATCCGGATGGGATAAACTGCGAATCAGGATAATCATAGTTTCCTGGTCGACGTTCTCGGGAAGATGCAGAGTGATGGAAGTCGAGTGACCTTCCTGGAAGGATCCCTTGAGCATGGCAGCAAAGAACGGTGATCCTCGGCTCAGCGCGCCGCGGTTCACAGTTATAACGGTGTCCCCGATAATCACGTCCACTTCACCACGATTCGCTTTCTGCCGCATCGCGTAATGGGCGCGATTCACTCGACGCGAGGCCATTGTGGCAACGATCACATTAGAATCTGAGAATTCCCAGCAGACAGTTGATTTGATTAGATACAAAAATTATGGAAGAAATTTAATTCCATACGCGTACACATACACCAGCGGTCCGAATCTAGAATGACTGGCATTTCATTATTAGCAGCATGGAACGTTTTCCAACCGGCCGGAACGCCAGAATACCAAAGATGGCGGCATTTTTTCCTCACATCAATCACACACCAATGAAAGCTGACCGTGAGCAGTAAAGCCCCTTTCCAATCAGGAACACAAACATAACAGCCGAAATCTTTGGTTTCGGAAAGACAGCTGTGCTTAAACTTGATGCAGAATAGTATTACGTCCATCCAGCTAGCTGTTGCCAACAAGAAAACAAGGGCAAACTGCCAATCTGCTGCCGCAATTGCGCATGCAGAAAATGCTCATCCCTTAATTCCAGTATACCAGGAAAATGCACGTTTGTGTGCATTGGTAAAAGTGCTGCAGTTTTTCTAAGCTTTAAATGAAAGTGTGCATGTAAATGGTCGGAGATTCAGGAAAAAATTTGTAACGCGGCTTTTTTACACAACGTTTCATTTCGGATTTTGCAAATAAAATTGCCACGGGTGAATTTAGTACTTTGCCTGTATTCCTTTAACATTTGGTCGTTAATTTATAAAATACGAATAACACGTACCTGTATAACTGCCCTTGTCATTTTCTTCATGTGAAGACGTACCAACTTTATCTTACTATCATTTATATATGCCAGTGATCTTTTTTGTGTGTTAGTTTAGTTTATGAATGATGGCTAGTAAAACAGCAACATGCTCAACGGTTCTAACTTCTACGATGTGGCACGTTACTTCGGTAGCCATTTCCTACAAAGCGAGAACTACGAATCGTTACGCTCTCGATCTTCCTATACACCGCTCATGATGAGCGGAATCCAGATTCCAGATGTATTTCTGTGCAGGAAGTAAATCCCGGATGACCAGTGTGAAAGCGACAAAACAATCTTACCTTCGCAAATCGATCAATGCAATTTTGCACGTGAAAAACGTTCCTAATAACCTGGTGATATCCACTGTGTTAACATGTTAAATATGACATTTGCGGAGTTGCTTCGCGGTAGTGTTCGAGATTGTTCTTGTTACTGGAAGACCACGCGTTCCGCAATGAAGAAAGGGAGCAAGATTAAGCCGAAAGCTTCGTGCATCACATGTCCACTTATAGACATTCCTAGTTCATCATGTGCCACACATGTGCGTGTACAGGAACGTCTCCTTACGCCATGTTCGCCTACAACTGCCAGCCGTTGTTTTGACAGTTGCGTGCATTCCCGTAAACAACGCTATCGGCCCGGCGCGTGTTTTGTCCAGCAAAAGCAGGCGCATCCGCTCATCGTAAACTGCACGCAGATATCGGGAATATATTATGATGGATGCGCGCGTACCGGCAGTTTATTTGGCCGGCAGTTAACCTCCAGCTGATCGGGTATCGAGCGGATATACTGGGCGCACACAAGTCTCCCTGGAGTCAGCAAAATACATTGTAGCGTGTGTTTTCCCTCCGTTTCCTGTTGACATTAATTTTCTCCGACCTTTAACGCAACCAGCCAACCCACCATTCCCGGCGTCCTGACGCGTAAGCAAAAGCCGCTGAGAAATGTACGGAAACACTGACATCTGGATGCTGTGTGTTTGAATTGTGCATCCTGTGTTATGTTCTCCCATCACAAAAGCCGGTGCGATGTGTACGCAGTACCGGCAACACGGTACGTCGATATACAACGGCCTCTCGCTCAGATTAAAGTAATCCGCCTTAATCTGCCCCGCTCTGTCTTCCATCTGCCGGTATTGCCAGGATTGATTAATAGGCTCGCCGATTACAATTACCTGTGTTGTATATCTGTGAGCCCAGCAGCGCGATACACGGAAGGCAGCTGAAAAAGATGTTACCACTGTCGCAGCTGTGGCAGCGCTCACAGCATTTCTCCATTTTCTAATATGGACGCGGTAAAGATGTCTTTATGGACTGTGGCATGATTAAACAATGTGCAGCGCGAGCGCTCTCCTGTTCTACCTGATATTAATTTATTTCCACGGACCGACGGCGTGTTCTGGCCTGAATCTGACGGTGTGCTCGGTGATTGAATCGGGGAATGATATGCTGGTGTATAACTATCAGCGGGCGGCTGCCGCTATTGACCTGGCCATTGAGTATGCCAACGAGGTGATCTTACCTGCTGATCTCCGCTTGATTCTGCGGTATAAAAACGGGGGAACGGTGTGCGGCGCCAACAATGTGGCGGTACGGCGGGCCTTGGAGTGGATGAAAGAGGATGTCCAGTGTCATGTGTACATTGGCCCAGGTAAACGCTGCCCACGTTCGGATTACGCAGACAATACCGCCTTTTCAGTATTACAGATATTTATAGCACGTAGAAACAATGCACTCAACATCGAACATTTCTTTAGTGCGTAATACAACTTTGCCCGAGGCTTTCTCAGTTTTTTTAAAAATAATTTAAATGCTCTTTTTTAAAAATAATTTTAATTTTTTAAATAATTTAAATAATTTTTAATAATTTAAATGTTAACGAAACAGCAATTACTGCTGTTTCGCTATTTTGAGCAGGATTTATGTAGCTGCATTATTACTGAAAATAAATATGCCTGCCTTTTTACCGGTTGTTTTTTTAACTGATCTATGCACACATATCCTGAGCATTGATGTTACTGGAAAATGTTTGTTACAGTATGTTTGTCTTTTTATCGGCTTTTTTGGCCTTGTTTTTCGAATCAGCAGTTTTTGCATCGGCGATTAGTATCATCAACGTAATCATCAGGAGAATTAAATATAGCACATCCAGCATCCAACAGAATTGACGCAGTTAATAGCGCGTGGCTGGCTGGTTTCTCCAGCGAACGTGATTACCGTTGTCATACTTCATTACACCATCGACATCACCGGGGATTTCCTCACGATTACTGTTTATTTGCCGATTGCACATTAATCAGTCCTATTTCCTGTACCGTCCAAACTGTGCGCGAATTCTCATGATGCTTTGGCCGTAGGTTGTGACCGTGCCGTGGCCGATCTGTACAGCATCGCCACCTACCAGAACATCCCCATCATAGGCGTACCCGCCGGCAACGTGGTGGGCATCACGAAACTGGCCCGCCAGCAACTGCCGCTCCTCATTCGCACCGCATACTCCTTCACGGACATCTCCCGCCTGCTCATCACCTTCCTGGACTTCTTCAACTACACCCACACCGCCGCCCTGGTGGACGAGTCCAACAGTTTCTTTGCGGAGATGGGCGACATGGTCAGTTTGCAGTTCCGCACTGTCCGGTCGGATCTGCACGCGCGGACGAAATTCGAATCGTTTAAGAGCGACGAGACGACGACGGATGGCTACGCGGCGCTGCTGCGGGCGGCCAGTTTGTCGTCGCGGGTGGTACTGCTGTTCGGGAATGCGTCGGTGGTCCGGCAGATCATGGTATATCCCAAACGATCTGTTTTCTACCCGATATATTGGCTAGACGCTTCCGTTGTATTGTACGGGGGTATCTATTGCAACATAATGATTGATTTTTCAGCTAACCGCCCGCAAGCTGAGCATGACTACCGGTGATTACGTAAGTGCACAGTTTATGTATGGACGTATTGATTTAAGGGAATGTAGCACACCAATAAGTTTAGCATAAATTTTAATGTACCTCCTTTCCACAAATTTCAATTTTACTAATGTCATTGTCTCCAGTCACGCATAAATTAAGTTTTAATGTCATGTGCATAACGTATCGATTAATTTCCTGTTATTTGTTCGGTATCTATCCCTCGCGTGTAAAGCGTTCTCTTCTGTAAATGCTTCCCGTCGGATAAATTCAAAGTTTTCAAATTAAAAGAGCCGGAAATATTATGTAGAATGACAGAATGCACTTTACAATAAGTATAAGCGTCAAGGCTGTATTTTCAATAATAATTAGCTGTTTTACGATGCTTCTTCAATATGTTTAGCATAACACAGTAGACCAGTCTGTCAATACAGCCCTAAGGCAACCGTTTTACTGTAAAACCACATGATTAAAATTGTATTAGTACCGAGTCTATATTGACAATGGTGGTGATCCGTTGTGTGTACATGGAATGTCAACAGTGACAAGAGGAAGACGTCCTATATTATTGACACTAACCGGCGCGCACGCATAATCACAGGTCTACATCGCCGTGGAGCTCTTCAAAAGCAATTTCTGGGGGGACTTTACGTGGAAATTTGATGATGCCATGGACCGAGTGGGTTTATTAATTCCCCTTTGATCCACTTTCTACCAATTAGAATTTGCCGGTGTTGTGCCATTTTGATAATATTTTTCTCCAGGAAAGCCAGCTAGCCTACCGATCCCTGGCCATCATCGGCCTGTACGAGGAGACCAATCTGGAGTTTGCGGAGTTTGAAAGACAAGTCCGCCAGCGCGCACGCGTGAATTACCACTATAATTACGGTGCATTCGAGCAGGTGCATTAATCCAAAGCTGCTTATTGACCAGGCAAATACGGGATGTTGCTCTTTCTTTCGCAGATCGATCCGGTTGTTGTCAGTTTCTACGACTCCTTCATTTTATACGCCACCGTGGCCGGTCGTATCTATCAGCAAGGCGGGAATCTGACCGATGGCCTGGCGGTGGCCAATGCCATGAAGAACGTCTCCATACCCAGTCCGTTAAAATACAACATCAATATTAATCCCAACGGGGATCGGTCGCGGCCCTGCGCGATTAAGGATCTCAGCCGGGAGACGGAAAAGTTTGAGGTAGACGATCGAAGTAATTTCGATCTTCATTACTAAGTAGCGGAATTAATCCATAGTATTGAGGTGGTAATGTATTTGGCACATTTAAAACTACCGCAATTTGCGTCACACAGAGCAATTAGATAATCGCTCGATAACAAGTGACCCGATATGTTGTGTATTTTGAGTGGATTTGCAGACGATTCTGCGGATTGATTATCTGAGTAAGGAGGAAGTGTGGTATGGGAATTTCACGTGGCCTGGTCGAACGGGACTGCCGCCTGATGTGCCACGGTGCGGATTTGATGGCAAGGCAGCCGTTTGTCAAGAAGGTGTGGCTTTCCATCCACCTGCTTCCTAATCTGGGCAACTGCTTCCATTGGGATAACATTAGTTGTTCTGTTACAGTGGTTGTTTTGCCAAGCGGTGCAGTTGCCGGTATCGTTATAGCCTGTACCGTATTCTTCGGTTTAGTTATCGGCGGATTCGTCTTCGTCGTACGGTAAATACATAACTGCGAAAAAAAGGTTTCCTGGCTACAAAATCCGATTATTTTGTATCCCGTGTGCAGAAAGCATCAAGCCGAATACGATCCGTATTGGTGGCGGATCCGTACCAGCGACGTGCGTATCTTCGACGCCAACCATCCCAGCGTGTCGCACGCTAGCTTAAAGGTTAAGCGTAATTTGTTAGCACTTTGTGCGGTGTAAGTTACCGTGTATCTGTAATTAGAAGGAACATTCCACGAGTATCAATTTGTCGACAACGAAGACGGTGAAAACCGTCATGACCCAGCGCGCCTATGGTGTACCGGCGTCCTACAACGGCAATGTGATCTCCCTCACTGAGCTTCCAAAGAAAATGTACAAACCAACCAGTGCCTTAATACAGGAAATGAATCAGGTTGGTGACCTTGTATACACAGGAGAATGAGGAAGCGTTTTTCGGTGAAAATCCACCAGGGATCGATTACACTTTAGTTTATTAAACGCCAGTTTTGGCCTACATTCAAAATAAATCATCCAGGAAAGCGAATACCGTAGTTGCGTTACAAAATAATTATTTTGTTATTGGGTGGAATTTATTTTCATACTAGGTTAGATTTATTCGTATCATACATATTACGCAGATCGGAAATCGAAACGTACATACAGTATCTTAGCGTTACTGATATCGTTATTCACCATCACGGAGAAGCTGCTCGCAATACGAAGGGACTATAACCTGTCTGTTATGTAATACGATTACATCGCTAATCGCCTTGATAACTTTTTCCAACAGGTGCGCTTGTTGTCGCATCAGAATCTCCACCGTGTCGTCGGTATCTGTCTGGATGAGCAGAGCTTTTGCGAATACATAGCCGGTGAGCTGTGCACCAAAGGAACACTGGAGGATGTCTTGGAGGATGAGCATATTAAGCTCGATTGGTCTTTCAAGAATTCTCTTGTCAAAGACATCACAGAAGTAAGCAACTTAAAGCGATGTAACGTATCGATTGCACCGCTTATGCGCACAATCCTTCCAAAACGTTTTCCCTAATTTCTTTTGACTGCATTTTCCAAAGCATTCATTCACAAGGGATGCGAAGCCTTTCTTAAGATCATACTATTTTTTCCCCATAAATGTTTCAAAATATGAAACTTAGAAACAAATTTACCCGGTATTAATTAATTTTACTGTGAAAAATACGGAACTTGCGGTACCGTAAAGTTCTAAAGTTAGATAATATATTTATCCAAACCAGGGAATGAATTACCTTCACTCCTCTCAAGTTGTCTCCCATGGCCGGCTGACCTCACACGCCTGCGTCATCGACAGCCGGTTTATGGTGAAAATAACGGACTACGGCCTGACGGCCTTCATCGACTCCAAGACACTCCTTCCGCCCAACAGCAGCGAGGAGACACGGGATTATCGGGAATTACTGTGGCGCGCACCGGAACTCCTGCGGCAAGTTATGCCGGTGCGCGGCACACAGGTAATAGGCGTCCTAAGCCCTTTATCTGCTTTATTACGTTTACTAGTCGGAGAATAACTTCCTCACCCTCTTTGCAGAAAGGTACACAAGGACGGGACCTGTCGGAAACATTTTTCCAGTAAATCAGCCATCCCTTTGTAGGCGATGTGTACAGCTACGCCATCATCCTGCAGCAGATCATTCTACGCAGTAATCCCTTCTCCAGCGGAATTTCCGAGAATCACTCGCTGATTGAGATGTCGTTTTCGGACAAGGATATTGTCATGGAGGTGCGGCTGTCACCGTAATAAACCCCTGATTATTGTCACAACTTTAATCCCGTAATGCGTTATGTAAAGGTCAAGCAAGGCAATATCCCTCCGTTCCGGCCCAACGTACCCAAATCCGCGTGCTCCAGCGAGATTTATCAGTTGATGGAGCACTGTTGGGCGGAGCGGCCCATTGAGCGGCCGCAGTTTAATAAAGTCCGCGATTTAGTCAAGAAGACTATCGGCGGCGGGAGTGAGAATATCGTGGAACATCTGCTCAACCGGATGGAACAGTATGCGAATAATTTGGAGGCGCAGGTGGCGGAGAAGACGCAGCAGTTTATGGAGGAGAAACGCCGATCGGAAGAGCTCCTCAGTCAACTGCTACCCAAGTATGTTTATCCGGTGATGCTGATAGAATTTTTACGTAGGACGATGGTAATGAGTATTTCGTGCAGGAGTGTCGCAGCAGCGCTGACCAAAGGCGAGAGCATCGGTCCCGAGTCTTTTGAGAGCGTCACCATATACTTCAGCGATATTGTCGAGTTTACTACATTGTCGGCAGCCATTTCGCCGATGGACGTGGTTACATTGTTGAATAGCCTGTACACGTTGTTCGACGGGATTCTGGAGCATTTTGACGTGTATAAAGTGGAGACCATCGGTGATGCCTACATGGTACGCAGTCCCTACGAAAGCAAAAGTATATCGGATGAAAAACACTTTTTGCACCTTAAAGCTGTGATATAACAAATTAGCATTTTGAGGTGACGAAAAAAATTTATGAATTAGATGTCTGTTCAAAACTAAACCGAATAATCAATTCACCGGGATTTCTCAAAGTCATGAGCATTTTTGTCGAAGAAAACAGCTCTACAAGCCGACAGCCACTAGACTACGACATTAGTGTACTGCAAAGCTTTAGCAGTCGGGAAAGAGTGCACGTTTTCAAAACGCCAGAAAAATCTCTCATTATTCATCGTACAAACATTCAAAACGTCGTTTTGAATGTTTGTGCGATGAATAATGAGAGATTTTTCTGGCTCTGGTAAAGCGAATAAATCAACCGACCTCTACTTTTTTTACTACTCTTGTTGTTTTATGTGGCTTCCATGAATTTTGGAAGGTTTCTGTAGAGTCAGATTACGGTCGCACGCAACGGTTGAGTGACCTTATGCGCCATCATACAGATGAACTTAAGCGGCCTACAGGTTTAACGTTCCCGTAGGTAGCTAGCGGCCTCCCGATCCGCAATGGTAACCGGCACGCCAGCGAGATCGCCAATGTCTCCCTACGGATCCGAGCGGATATTAGCAACTTCACCATAACCAGCCGGCCCCAGGAGAAATTACGCATCCGTATTGGCATGCACTCAGGTAGGCAGATTAACCTTTCCCTTATTACTGACCATGGCATGCACCCGGAACTCTTGAAGGCTCCTGTGTGGCGGGGATCGTCGGATTAAAAATGCCGCGGTATTGTCTGTAAGTAACCTTTACTAGGAAAATTCTGGTTGCTGTTAATCATGTTATAAACCGGGTTGTTTGCTGAGTCAGATTTGGAGATACAGTTAATACGGCGTCCCGGATGGAGTCGACCGGCGAACGTAAGCAACACCCTTAACAATTGTGGTATCTGAATTTGTTAATCATGCGCGTGTGCTGCTACCATTCACAATATTTAACGATGGTTATTTTCCATTATCGCAATTGTTCATTTCGTAGCGATGAAAATTCAGATTTCGGAAGAGTGCAATCGTCTCTTAATGAGCGTCGGAGGTTTCCTGACCACGGAACGGGGTCAAATAATCGTTAAGGTATTAACAGTTGCAAACTCTAGATTATCTGCAAAACTGCATGAATAGTAGAATACGCCATCAATTGAATACGCAGGTTATCCAAAATAAAGAAAAAGAGTAACTGCTTTACGTTAATTTTTTTATTAACAATTTTGACGCTATTTTTGACGAAATTTTTAAATTCCTTACAAAATTTTCCGAATTCCTACAAAATTTTACTTGTAGGAATTTCGTACTTGTTTCTAAACATTTACCTCTTTTAAAACTTTTACTAAATTATACTTATTTATTAGATTAACTTAGATTACGGATTTCGTTCTTTGCGTTTTGCAGGGGAAGGGTACATTAGTAACTTACTGGCTGCTGGACAATGTGAAACGTGATCGACTACAGTCCTTTACCTCCCGAGACAGGCTGTACTCGACGACATCCGAAGTTGCCCATTCGACCACATCCGCGGAAGCGAAAAAATAACTGTGATTCTACATATACATATTGCAATTATTCTATTATTTTAACGTTGCATTACTGGGTGGACCGTTAGCCGTGTGGCACACGTTTGACTTCCATATTTTTTAGAATGAGCGATTATGATTATTGATTACGGTGCATTACTGTCGACTGTCAAAACGCTGGTTATCACATGCACCGGCACTGCTATAAAAATCCGCTTGAGGAAATATCGATGACTTTAAGATTTCTGTGCTTTTGCAAATGCTCTTGTAAAAGTACGTATCTACGGTTGGAACAGCAAAAGACGTATCATTACAGCAAGATAACAGACGTACCAGTCTTATATACACGTACAACATCTGTCCATCACGAAACACAGTTTGGAAAGAGTTTCTAAAAATTTTTACCTGAGGCAGCAGCAAGGTACTATTTTGCAGATCAAACTGTACATGTAATGTGCATTGTTGACACCAAACACCGCTCGATTTTTTACAGGTCTTAACATTCCAATTTCGTTTCACATTCTTGACTTAATTTTTCACATTTTAAGTTAGCAAACCAGTGCAATGGAGACGCAACCGTTGTAAATACGTTATATCGCATTCGTATTTAACAAGTTATTGGCATACCGTTTTTTTCGGTTTCTTTTCGAAATGTCTCATAAAGAACAGGAAAAGTCAGCCACAACAGATGAAACAAATTCTCCACCGACATCCGCTGGCAAGTACAAGTTGGGCGATGAAGGGTATCTGTAAGTCACCTGTCGGTTGGCCAAATAGTGCATACACTAACAATTTAAGGCGATGCCTTAACTACGTAGACTGGACTATCATGGTACCAGAGTGCCATATCCGTTGTACGAAAGTCTTCCCGTTGTGGAGCAATTCAAAGCGGATCCCAAGGATATTTGCATAGCCACATTCGCAAAAGCAGGTACAAATATAATATTATAATCACCCATGCGCGGCAACGAAAAAGCTGCTACTTCAAGTTTTTTAGCACCCGTGACACTCTGCTTGTTATAACTGGCTTGCGTGTGTTAGCGAATTTTTGCGCAATATGCGTTGTTTTACTCCTACACTACTCTTTACGCACAGCCGCTGTATTCTGGACTTGTGATCATAGGGACCAAATTCATGTCCGCTGTAGTTTGGATGATTATGCACGACGGTGATCCGGCTTCGCTGCTAAAGGGTGACAATCTAGACGGCAAAGTTCCGCATCTAGAGTTTGCCCTGTCGGGAATGCCAGCGGAAGCCATGCCGGCGTATTGGCTCAATCAACAAACGCCGCCGCGCATCTTCTTTACCCATCTGAGCTTCGAAGCGTTACCCGAGAGTATCAGAACGAAGGCAAAAGTTAGTAATCAGCCATCTACGTCAAGGGATACTTTCACAAGGTCGGCTAAGAGGAGATCAACGAGAAACGCTCATTTTGTGTAGATAATTTACGTGGCTCGGAATCCGAAGGATGTTATTGTCTCTACGAATTACTTCTCCCGCTCGCTGACATTTACCGGATGTAATCATACCATGGAGGAGACGGTCGAAACTTTCATCAACAATACATGTGCCCATGCGCCCTTCTTTGACAATATCGCGGGATATCGGCGTCACTTGTCCGAAATGCGCAATTTATTCTTCACGACGTACGAAGATATGCTACAAGTACGTGTTATACGCTAGAAAAGTCGCCAGTTGTATGACTTAATTAAATGTAAACTCCGTGGCCTTAAGGTATAGCACGCATAACTTTTAGAGGACCCTTAACGATGTCGAGCAAACGATCCATCAATGCGCATATAATTTTTAAACACAGCATCATAACTATCGTCATGTACACTATCTCGCAGCTCTATGTTATTCGATTTTGGGGAGGTTTGCACTTGCAGGATTTAGAAAGCGTCGTGAAAGATGTAGCTCGCTTTCTTGGCAAACAACTGGATGAAGCAAAGATAGCCAGCATTCTGCAGCACTGTTCGCTGGATAAAATGAAAAACAACAAGCTGACCAATCATTCCAATCTCCACAACGCAGGCCTGATGGATTTTAGCGTGTCACCATTTATGAGAAAAGGTTTAGATCTAGCAAGTTTACTGAGACAAGAGATTGTTCCTGAGGGCACAATTTCACCTACGGTTCTTGGCTTTTGCAGGAATTGTTGGTGATTGGAAAGACCACTTCACACCGGAACTCAACCAACAAGTAAATGAATGGATTGAACGTGAACAGCGCCGCCTCCGCCAAGACCTGCAGGGATTTTGTTTCCGCTATGATTAGACAAGTACTGTGTACAACGTACGTAGCTGTTTAACGACCGTCACAGTTTCTCTCTTTTCTTTGACGTGGTAAATCTTCGTTCAACATGCGACCAACTGAGCTTCCTGGTGGCTGTTTTCGGTTTGAATATTTGAAGATTTCGTCGTTTAAAAAGTGTGATTTGCGAGCTTGAGCAGATTGTTAAGCGCCGTAAAACAGAAAACCTTTTTAGAATTTTTTTGCATTCGGTGCCGGCTCATTGCAGACACAATTAACAAAGCTAAGAAAATAATTTCGCTTACCGTTATGGAAAGATTGTCATCAGCTTTACTGCGACGTAAGAACCTGTGTAAGGTACGCTGAAGACTCTTCCATAGAAACCCGCACACAGGAAGCTGCCTGTGTCGAACTGTGATCGTTCGAGCAATCACCCAGTAAAAGTACAAACGCCCGCGACGGGCCGCGAGTATTCCTTGCCGGGAGCCTAATGCCTTGGTTTAGTTCACACTACACATTACATACGGGTTACGGCTATGGAACAACTAGAAAAGGACGGAATAATGGAAGACAAATTCACGAATGGAATATTTTACTAAAATTCAACCGTACCAATCGCAGCAGTCAGTACCACTCTTAGTTAATGTCTCACCAGTGCACCCATCTTTCAAAATATGAAAAGCAACAGAAGCATAACGTAATCCGTATCATGTAAAAATAAATCAGTATCCCATATTACGCATAATAAGCAGTTATTGTAGATTTTACCACGTTAACGTAGAAATCATCGTTTGTGGCGAGTACTGCCGAGTGTCGACTTGCGATCGAACGGTGCATGAATGTCATTGCACCGAAGCACGGTGGTGATAGGCCCATTAGGAAGATGCACTTGTAACAATCCAAAAGAATACAGTGCGAAGTCGCCCATCAGCAGAGTCGCCGGGTATCGTTTCCACGAACCGTCTCCTCCAAAACTCATGACTGCCTCCGCCACGAATTCCTCCCCCTGGTCTGAAAAAAAACTTGAAGTACGGTCAGATGGTAGAACAACCGCTTGTACAGCCGTACATAACCACTCTTCAATTTCGGATGGGAAATTATACGGATCCCGATGAGAGTACCCACGCGTCTGGGCATGTGAATTTCACACTAATTCATACAAATAAGTCATAGAATTTGCTGCGACGTTTTTCGCACTCCGGACATATTTCAATATTTCACAATATACAGTACATCTGCGTATCGCACACCACGGACAGGATATTCTCCACTTTATTCCAATGACAAATCTCTTAAAAAATCGATTATTTGATAAAATATAATGTTTTTATACAAGCTTGTACACGAGATTCAGATATTTTCATACAGCAAATTATCAAGTCTCCTAATGTGGAACAATGCAAGGACTTCCGGGTGCCCGGTACGCGAATTCATAGTGTGGAAATGCCCGGAATACGAAAATACGAGTACGTCAAAGCAGTTTTATATTGATAAGAACACAATTTATTATTACATAAACAACGTGATATTCGTGAGTTTTTACGTTTTCGAAATCCTGCTGCATGCTTTTCCGACGTGTAATCTTCAGTGCGTATGAAGCCCCTCATTAATACGAATTCGCCATTTATAGGTGTACTGTTTCCATACCTATTGAACGGGCATACGGTTTGCCGATCTGACCTTCTGCGCACAACAGGTTCTGATTCTGGCGGAGGTAAATGCTGCCAAACGGGAAACGGCCACTGTTCTTGCGGCCAAATACAATGCTTAGCTCCTTTTCGGTGGTGCACGTATCTCGAACTTTTCCGCTGAATATATCGTCTCCAACCATAATATCCACCGTCGTAACGCTGCTATCACCGCGTCGCCGAACACAGCAGACCTTAGGTAACGGAGCACCTTCCGATTTGCGCATAACGTTCTTACACTTGGGTCCACAACCCCCGTTGCGTAGTGGAGAACCGCGCGATTTGCGTGCAAAACACTTGCACTTGGATTCACGAGAGTAATGAGTTTTTCATGGTTGTCAACGTGTGAGAGTTCAGTGGGAGGTGCACAACGTGACTCGATAAAAGAGGAAGAAGCGCAAGTCGCAAGATAAATGTGCTATCATTTACTGCGCAAGATCGCGGAAGACCAAACACGTGCTTATTGGCTCGTTCTAACATGCAGAAAGTCTGCAGACGGTTTTAACTTTTAACCGATGCGGAAGTGCTCTTGGGACTGGGCGGTCCACGTTGCGCGAGGCGGAATGTGGTTAGTGATCAGGCCAGAGGGCGCTCTAAGCGTTAAATGCGAAACTGCGCACGCTGAGCGGTGTGCCACGCGACCCTCACGACCGTGACAGATCACTGAGACCAGTGCTCAAGAAACCCACGAGAAAATGTGTTGCAAACGTAGCACTTTTAAGCCGTTGTACATATTCGTAATTCGTATTTCTTAGTGACTGAAAAAACGAAAGTCACTCTTCTGTTTCAATAGACAATAAGTGCTGTCCTAATCGATTTGCCTAGACTCCCACCTGGTTAGACTCAGAGAGGTAGACAGAATGAATCCGCTTGCTATGCTACAGGCTACAGCACAGACATATTCAATAAGCTCGAAACAATCCGCTTCGTTTTGCCCATTTATTCCCAAATATTTTGCCGCTTTGTGAATATGTCAAGATCTGTAGGCAGGTCATGCATCTAAGACAAATGGAACAGAATCGAATAATAAAAGCTAAACCTGGCGTTTATACTATTGACAAAGTTCAACTTTTTCGGCTACCAAAATAGCTTCACAAAGGCAATCACTTTCCAATGGATTTCTTCCAGTGCTCCTTTGAATGTCTGTAGTGAACGGTAGAACGACACATCCAATCCAGGTCGTTCCAGGTAATACTATGTCCATTGTTCACCGTCAAGTTTAGCCATCGTGCCGGCACTATTCATTGGCATTCAATGAGGAGAAACCCGAAAGGTATCGTCAGTTGTCATTTCCATTAGGTACTACATACTGTATATAGTATGCTTAATTTCGTAAAACATTTTTCCATACGAGCGTGCCATTATAAAAAATGGTCTGTACTTTTTTTCCCATTATAGTCAGTGACTTCACTTGCATTGAGATTTCACAAGGCTGTAAATGCACTGTTGTAGAATTGAAAGAAAAAAATTATTGAGCAACTGTGTCAGCCTGTGTCAGCCGCGCGGCACGCATTCCATTTCCGATAATAATGGAAACCAATCAGGTAGACATCTCAGATAGAAGTAGTGTACTTTAGAACTATCATCGGCAATCACCACCTCGTAGTTATTCAGTCTTATTGCACGAGCACATAAATCTGCGATGCGGTGGGCGTCGTTCAGTATTCCTGCCTACGGTTTTTATTTTCATTTCATTTTTCCGTGGACGGAACTGTTGGACAATGTCATGCAGCCTGCACTAACCAGAATGACCGCAACCAGCCCGCCGATTACCGCATATGAGTACAAATTTGGCGACGAAGGCTACCTGTGAGTAAACCAATTCATTCAAATCAATTAATTAAGTCCATTCATTTCATTAAAAAAGTAGCTACAGTTGTTTGCATTTTCAAATACATTTACAATGTGCAATTAGACTGGATTACCATGGCACGAAAGTTTTCTACCCGATGTACAAAAGCCTGCCGGTTGTGGAGCATTTCCAGGCCGATCCCAAAGATGTTTGTATCGTCACCTTTCCGAAAGCCGGTAAAGTGTACTGCAGTTGGGAGAAGCTATGAAACTCCTATTTAACGCGAAATATATACAGAACGGGCGATTATCTTGCTTTCGAGAGACGCAGTACGCTCAAACTGTTGTTTTTTTCCAAGGTACCAAATTCATGTCGGCAGTCGTGTGGATGATCCTGCACGACGGTGATCCTGCATCACTGCTGGAGGGCGACACGCTAGAACGGAAGGTTCCTTATCTGGAGTTTTGTCTGCCGGGAATGAAAATGGAAGCAATGCCGGCATATCAGATGAACCAGCAAGTGCCACCCCGCGTTTTTTTTACTCATCTGGGTTACGATGCTTTACCCGAGAGCATCAAGACTGGTGCAAAGGTAAAGAAAGATGTTGAATCGTTGATTACAACTGGAAACTGTGCAACATGTACATACAGTTTTGGAAATTCAGGACATTATGTCCTTTCCGTCGGACCACCAACCAGCTAATAAAACATTTGATGGTAAAGCCGTAGTCCGCTATACACCGCCATCATTAAACCGGTTTTTGGCTTTCTGCAGTCTTGCCAAAAAATAAATCCTAAAACCAGTTTCGCTTTATATGGTACTGACTGCGACATACGTCCGCTTTGAAAGAACAGAGAATGAATCATCTGATTATACAGACTGTACTTTAAGCGACAAAAATCGGCGTAAAATGGATGTTATTCTTAATACGAGTACCCCAGTGCTATTCATGCGCACATCAGCGCTGCCCTTTTTCCAATCATGCCAAGAGCTATGTTGGAAACCGAGAAGCCGATGTCACAAATGCACTTGATAAATGCACGGTAATTATTGAGTCGCAGCAATTCCGTCGCAATATAATTTTGTAGGTTAGTGTACTCGGCCGGACAAACCCCCCAAAAAAAGCTGATGGAATGTTAATTCTGCTAGGATTTGTTTAAACTTTAAAGTTTCTCGAAAACAACCCTAATATTATTGTCAAAGCGGAAGAGGATATAGATTGCCCGAGCTGGGACAAAACTTTTTTTAGTGCGTCATAGCAAGAGTTGTACACAATCAAGCACCTTCAGTTTTGTCCCAACTCATGCTCACTCTCGAAGAGGAATATTACCGTTGACATATTTTCGCCGATTGCGCAATGAGAATAAACGATCGTTTCTTACAGATAATTTACGTCTCTCGCAATCCGAAGGATGTCATGGTTTCCACAAACTACTTCTTCCGCTCCATGCCGTTCGCCCAGTGTAGCAGCACAATGGAAGAGACTGTCCGTTCGTTCATTGATAACACGTGTGCGTATGCACCCTTCTTTGATCACGTCGCCGGATACCGTCGCCGTCTGTCAGACATGCCAAACTTGGTTTTTACAACTTATGAAGAGATGTTGCAGGTACAGGCTAAAATAACACCGGCTCCGTAACTTGGTTCGGCCAAAAGATGGCAACGTTTGGCTGCTATTCGTGTTGTCTGTTTTGCAGGACTTGAAAAATGTGGTCAAAAGAGTAGCGCGGTTACTTGAGAAAGACCTGGATGACGTTCAGATATCTAACATCGTGCGGTACTGTTCCCATGAACAAATGAAAGATAACCAGCTGACCAACCAATCGCATCTGCACAAAATGGGGCTGAGGGATTTTAAAGTATCGCCCTTTATGAGAAAAGGTAGCGGCGACTCAAAAATCTTTAACGCATGTTCTGAATAAACCCCTCTATTTCAGGAATTGTCGGTGACTGGAAAAACCACTTCACCCCGGAAGTCAACCAACAAGTAAATGAATGGATCGAGCGGGAGCAGCGTCGTCTCCAGCAAGATTTGGACGGATTTCAATTCTAGTTTCAAGAATAAAATTTCGCATTATCGTTTTTATTTTACGCTGATACAATTTCTTGTAGCTTCTAATGGTCACTTAGAATAAATTTGGCAACTGTGACCGTTCAGTTATTTATGTCATGTTTGAATTCTTTCCTTCGTAATGCTGGATGCAGGATCCCCCTACGCTTCTTTTATTCAGTTTTTTAGCATTTGTTGATACTTGTTCATACTGCGATAGCAGCAATGTTAATAATTATATTGATAATCGTATGCAACCAGCGCTTTGAACCTAACTGTTAGTGTTAAATGATTGCAATTAAGGTGCGTCAGTAGTACGAGTTGCTCTAATTTAAACTAAATTTTTTCGTAACTGAAGTAGCCAGATTTAAGCGCTTGAGTTACCGGCACCGGGTAAAGTTTGTTAGCACACCAGAAGTCACTTGGCTCTGCTGGCGCGTCAACTACAGTCAGCAGATAAGTACTGTGCGCGACCCGATGATGACTCCGCCATACGTGACCTCCGTCCCGTTTCCCTGATCGATGACAGACAAAGGTCTGCCAGCTTACCACCGAGGCGCTGGCGTCCGTCGCCCTGATACTGCGAGGCTCCCGGACCGCTGCGAAATTACGAGCTGCAAGGATAATCCGAAGGGATCGACCTGGGTTAGATGCTTCCGATATGAGCCTTTTGCTACACTTTCAGTAGTCGCGGTGGCAACGGACGCTGCTAATGGATTGGGAAAGCTCTGAATGGTAAAGCTTGGGGCGCATTTACTGATCGTGTGCAGCAGATCATGCACAACGTTCTACTGCTTGCGAAACTTTTGGAACTTGGTAGTTGGTACGATGCGGTACTTAATGTTTTGTAGAATGCCGGAGAAGCTGTTTATCAGAGACGGAGAGAACTGCTCCGCTTTTTTTGCTGTTTCAACGCTTACGTTTGGAAATAGTGCGTGGCAATATTAGGAGTGTAATACGTTCTTTCTCACGTCAACTAAAACAATTTTTACTATTTATAAAAAGCAAAACAAGAAAACTAAAATCGCAGAAGTGCGAGTAGCACATCATCGAACAATCTAACAACAACAAATTCCCGTATTAGAAATGGAGGCTTAAAGGAGATTACTTAAACTTCTATTCCAATCAAACTTCTATTCCAATCAAATTCCTTCTATACCATCAAGGGTTAGTATACCATCAAGGGTCTTCTATACCATCAAGGGTCAATAACTGAAATTACGATTGTTACGAGTAAAAGAGTCGGTACAAGTATAAACAAAAGGGCAACCTCGTGAAAAATAAATCAAGGTTCTATCTATATGCGTGACAGTTTCATCTGTGCAGAAGCCGAATAAAACCATTACCAGGACAGCTCGATCGTTGGCGCAAATCGTCGAAATCGCACTTCACTCAGCAGAGCGTGCACCGTGAAGCGCGTCAGTTTCTTCACGTCCAGGCGGGATAGGAAATCGAAGTTCGTCTCTGTCGGTGCCGGGAACAAAGCGTTGCTGTACTGATTGCAATCGCGTGGATCCGGCATTTGCACTTTCGTCAAAATCTACAGAGCACAACGCATGAAGTTCAATATTTCAGTAAATTAGTGCTGAAAAAATATGAACGTTTACCTGCATGATGCGTTTATATCGCGAGACATTTTCCTCCTCAATCGTCTCCCGTATCCAGATCGCAATCAAATTCAAAACATCGGCTGTCGGTGCTGAGAAACTGTCGTCAATTAGATCCCACCAATCGTTCAAGCTCAGAGGCTGACCACCACAAATGCGTCCCTGGACAATCACCACTTGAAACTGCTGGCTTTTGTTGAGACTCAGCAGATTGACCGTCAGGTTGCGGAGTACCAAGGTTTCACAAACGGATGCGAAAGCAGTTAACTCGGAGTGCAAGTCGAAAATAAACTCAGAGATTACGCTTTCCTTAAATTTTCCACTACACACATTCCACTGCTGATTATGCAGAACGACCTTTTGAGCAGGCTGGTAGTCTTTTTCTTGTAAAATGCGCTGGAAAACGCCGGCATTGGCGGTTGGCTGTTTGTGTTTGAAGTGCACCGATCGCGGACAGTTCGTGATGGTGACCAGTTTGCCCCAGCGGTGGAAGATGCTGGCAGCGTTCAGGAATTCTTCTTCGGCCGCTTCTTCAGCTGACATATATCCATATTCCAGAGTGGTCTGATTGCTTAAGATGGGCAATTCCAAAAGATCATTCCAAGTGCTGCAAACGACGCTGATTCGGCACTGTTGCGCGGTATTCAAATAATGAAATATTTCCGTCAGGACAGCTATGGTCAGCGAACTCAAACCGCGCTCCGACGGCTCCGTATCATCCGTTTTGCGGCGCTTCCCCGCGCCGACCTGTTGCTTCCGTTTGCGCGTTGGGCATTTGGCTGAGCAGCTCTTTGCTCCAATGGAGTCATAAAACCCCCAACGCTATATTAATACAGAAGAATTATGCAAAAATTCATCGCTCTAAATTTCACACAACCTGTAGTGAAAGAGATAAGAAGATTTACCAGGGTATGGTAGAAGTCGCCATCTTTGGCCAGTTTTGCCGAACTGCGATCAAAAGGTACAAGAATGTTATGTCCACGAAGAATAGTGGTGAACGGCCCATCTGGAAGTGTCACTCGCACCAGTCCGAATGAGCACATGGCAAAGTCGCCCATCAGCAGAGTGGCGGGATATCGTTTCGACGGTTCCCCTTCTTCATAACGGATCAGCGCTTCCGCCACAAACTCTTCCTTTTGGTCTGTATAAAATGCGGTCGCTTGTTTAAATAAATGTGGTTGAAACTGCAAAATTTTTCAAATGCGCTTTTGATTATTTATTTTACTAACTTGTTTTTTCCATTAGTGTGATTTACAGTATATTAACCAGCGAAGGCTTTTTACTTTGTGAACGGGATATTAAAAACTGAATTTCAGCTGATCGGTTACTTTAACGATAGCGGAGAAAATTTCGGAAAAGTCTTACCGAGCCGCTCAGACCATTGAGAAAGTACCGTAGTTTGATATGCCCTGTTCCCAAAATCTGAATTTTTTCAACGCGAGCTCATATGGGAAACAGTTGGTTCTGATGAATATCGCTGGTATCGGATAATGTGGCGTAATACAGCAATTATAAGCAACAAGTGTTTTGTATGGTCATCTGTGTGATACCAGCAGTGTGTGTTACGTCGTGATGCAACAAAAACTAGTCTTGACAGATAAAAAATGGAATCGCACCTAATTTTCAAACCCCCTTCTGTTGAGAAACGAACCGCTTTTTGAACCTGGATAAAGATTGCACCAGCAAAAGGCGAGGCAGGAAATTCGCTGATTTCAGCCCTGTTGTACAGTATGTCAGCTAGACAAAGCGCACTTTGTCCAGTTCTGATCTTGAAAGATAATTCTGGAAAGACTCCTGAACCGGGACGAAGTATGAGACAGCTGAAGCCGCTTGCAACTTTTCATTTACCAAAGATTAAATTTATTGGCAATAGCCACCAAGATGACAATGAATGCAGGCGCCGGTACTTGATAGTTAAAATTTAAACATTAAAATAGCAGCCAACATCCCTGTCTTCTCTTGGGTTAAAAGGTAACGTGCTCACGACAGCCGTGGCATCTCCTCTAACAACAGCGAGACTAAAGCGCTGCTTAAGAAAAGCAGTGGAACGCGGAACCAAGGACCGAATAAACTTACTAAGAACTGACTGTATACGCAGGCAGGAGGATTCCTAGATTTTTGTATACGAAATCTGTTTGCGCGCGCAACATCCGGTTGGAAAGTTACGGGTGAATCGAATTCCGGAAAATTTAAATGCATTCAGATGCACTAAAAGTCTCATCATAAACCGATCCCTTTCAAATTTTGCAAATTGCAAGTAAATTCAAGTAAACTTCAGCCCTGAAGATAGTTGTTACACCGAACCACAGTTGTTCTGAATCATTTTTTTTCAAATTTTAAAATAATTTTAAAGTTTGAAAAAAATGCTGCAACTTTGGTTCGATGTAGAAACGATCAGTTACATTTACGAGCAAAATTTGAAGATGATCGGTTTATAATGAGACTGTTAGTACACCTGAATGCATTTAGACTTTTCGGAATTTTCATTACCCATAAGGCCATAACTTTCCAACCGGAAGTTGCGCGCGCAAACGGATTCCACGTCTACGTACAGAGTAACCGAATCCTTTGGCTTAACTGGCTACAAAATATCCTAAAGCAAATAAAAACGTGTTTGGGAGTGCGCGACAGGGAAAGCTCCCGTGGATGTACACGAATTTGGTCCTATGTAGCGGGCAAATCCCTTAACCACCACTATCTCGACTAGCTGCCACTTACGTTGTTGATTGATACTTTGTATATGTTGACACTTGTGCACACGTTGATTGTACACGCACATACCGATAGAACGCGCATACAGTCTTCCGCTGGGGCCTTCCTTGCACAACAAACTCTGGCGGAGATAGATGCTGCCGAATGGGATCAGGGGAGCTCGGCCGTCTCGGCGTTCAGAGGTCTTGGCACGACCAAAATCAATGTGCAGTCCATCTTCGCTGACTCCGGTCTCCCTCACCTTTCCGCTCAACAATTCTTCACTCTCTTCATCCATCACATCCACCGTCGTGATAGTGCTACCGTCACGTCGCAGAACGCAACACACCCACCAACAAGGCATGGATTGCCATTTGTGACGTCGTATCAGTTGCCGCGGGAATGCCGACTTCCGCATAGATTTACCACGGTGAGAGTACCACATTTTCAACTACAGGCAGTGCAGCCGCGCAACTCGCAAGTAACGTTTCCCAATTTGACGGGCAGCTAAAATGCACCCGTTATTAAAGACTGGAGACGTTTCCTTCGTTAGCACGCTTAAAAGTATCAAATACTGTGCGCGTGCGCCAACGATGCAAGCATGATGCACCGGATAAACAGCGCTGGACAACACTTACATGAGCAAAAAACGAAAACCTACTCAGTACTCTTGGGTCTTCGGTTGCACAAAATCTGCGCGATGCAGTAAGCTTATATGCACCTGTTGTATGCCAGTATGCCATAGTGTTTTGGACTGATAGATGGCGCGTAAGTCGAGACAAAAACCGATCCGGCTTAGCCGATTAAAAACAGACAAACAGGCTGAGACAGAGAGACAGAAAAAAATGATTGTTGAATGCAGTCAGTGCACACAGCGCAGCAAAAGCCATTGCGTTGGCGTTTTTCCAGTTAGATATTTTCCAGGATTTTCCAGTGATTCGGACAGTTTTGCAGCAGGGATGCACCGCTTTGGTAAGCAGTAGGCCAGAAGCAAAACATCATGCTGAGAGCAATATTATACTCGCTCGATTTTCTTCGCCAGCGCTTTTCATTTGAAATCCGAAGTGGCAGCGCAGTTTCCGTACTCGGAACCGTGGATGGAGCCGGGAAAATTAAGGTAAATACGTGTATTTTTGTTGTAATTAATTCTGCTCTCATTTTAAACCTGATGAGTGTTACTGGTTTGTGCTAATGAAGACATGTTTTACAAGCGAGTATTACAAAAAAGACAGGAGTCATCAATGATTATTAAGTGCGCACGTATGGCCAGATTCTGTTACAAATTAACACAAGTTCTACTTATAGAATTAGAATTACAGTTTACTGCGATACATGATGGTTTAAAGTGCTAATAGTTGTGTCTGGTTGTACAGACTTCCGTCTTCCGCTAATATCTTCCGAATCGATGTATTACATAATAATTTTATACTGCTTATTCGTACTATAGTATTAATGCCAGCAATAAATAACTTTATTTGCTCCTTACGCAGTTACGAACGCTTTATCACAAAAAGCGGGCACATTGTTGACCTCATAGCTATCTCATTTCCGCCAAAGGAAATGGCAGCCGGTCTATGCTTTTCGTCTCACCTTAATGCAGGATTTGAAAAATGTCGCTCAGAAAGTATCACGCTTCCTTGAGAAAGAGCTGGATGACGCTCAATCGCATCTAGACAAAATGGGACTGAGGGATTTTAAATAATTGCATAATCTGGTATATTTGTATATTTGTACTCACAAATATAGCAGTATGACCAACCTTATTCAGGCAATAAAGATGGAATATATTTTGGATGTACAGAAAAGGGAACACACGCGTGAATATTAGCACTAATATTTTCTACACACACGGCGTAAACACACTCTCAGGATCCTGCTAGGACGATTTTGTTGCCCTAGATTTTTGTCGAATAACGTTACTTCCGAATCACAAACACTGACTATTCCGCTCACAAGCAAATATTTTCGGAGAAGGTATTCTGGAGAATACATGAAACATACCATTCTATAGAGAAAAATCGGCTCTATAAAGTATTATTTTTTATAACGGGGTAAGTATTTTCGTTTTTTTGCAATAACTATATAAATTTAGTATTGCAAAACGTTCCGTGACGTGTACCCGCGCACATCAATGATGCCGCCCATCGACGCAGCAGAGATACGGATCTTCGCTCAAATTTGAGCGCTGTCCTGCCTCCACCGCAGTTACTTTGGCGGCTTAAAAAAATTTTTTGTTCCTTCTCGTTTTGCATCCACATGGAATGCTGACGGGTTATAATATTGTTTACGTGCATTTGAGATGAAAGATCTTCAAATAGTAATTTTGTGAGTCCGTGGAACCAGAAACGAAAATTGTGCTGGGAAAAGATGTTCAATGCTCAGAAGATACAGCAAGCTTGCTCACGCTGAATCCCGAGATGATCTGGCAAACTGATAACCATGCGCTGCAGCATATCCGCGATCAGCGCTGGCGAAGATCGGTATCTTCACATGCGCGATGGGCGGCATTTTTGATGTGCGCGCGTACACGTCACGGAACGTTTTGCAATACTAAATTTACATAGTTATTACAAAAAAACGATAATACTTACTCCGTTGTAAAAAATAGTACTTTGTAGAGCCGATTTTTCTCTATAGAATGGTATGTTTCATGTATTCCCAAAAATACCTTCTCCGAAAATATTTGCTTGTCAGATAACTATTCCTAGTTGTCTTTACGAAGGTCACCGCAAACACATACCAATATCCGGATATTTAACACAAGTTTATTCAGTTCTTATTTCGCTAGCTTACATCTCCATCGACTGATTCTGCCTCCAGAATCAGGTAAACTCACAGAGCGTCACAAACATGGAATTTCTCGTAGTAATTCACTTAACACAGGACAACCTGCACCGTCGTAAAGCCGCGTGCGGAAACTCATACAGGTAAGCAAAACAATAGTTGTACCAAGGTTGTACTGTACATACATGCGCCATACATGTTGATGTCGCCGTGTATGAAAAAACTCAGGAACCATCAGCGTGTGTTGTGAGTAAGGCCTTCTAATGCTGGAATTGCCGTTCACTGGAAAAGCTATTTCACCGCGGAAGTCAGCCAGCAAGTGATTGAATGGATCGACCGGGAACAGTGCCGTCCCCGGCAGGATTTGGACGAATTTCGCTTCCAATTTTAAACCTCAATTCTGTGTCATCATTTTTGTTTTACCCTTTTTACAGTTGCGTGTTAAGATGCCCTGTAGTGTCTAGCCGTTAGAAGCTCCCTCTGTGGTAGCAATACGACCTAATCCGATTGATGATGTAATTGGAATGCCCATCGGGCAGTCGTCCGTATATAAGCGATCACTTGGCGAGTGGTCAGCGCATTTGGCACTGCCGTAATTCGGCGCTTTCTGATTTTTCTTTTTTCTGTGTTGTTTTGCCCTCGCGTTGTGTTCGGTCATTGAGAAATAAATAAACTTCCTTTCAGCTGTGAAGTTACACCGGAAACAATATGCGTTCTATGAGTGACTTTGATGCTACGGATGCTACTCGATTTAGCAACTGTGATCACTGAGTAATTTATTGCACGTTTGAAATGTTTTTCTTCATAGTGTTGGATATTGGATTATTGATATTATCTAATGCTGCCATTTTTGAACTTCCTTTCATTTTGGTCATACATAGCTTGCGATAGCAGTTCTGCTCTTGTCTCAATTACTTTCGACCACACGGTATTCTAACAGACAACAACGCGCCTCCTATTTCTTTCCCTTGTTAATCATAAAAGTCGGCATTTTTCATATGTCGCTTCGGACTTTCGACCCACGATCTGTGGAAGCTTCGGACGTAACCCACGATCGATGGAAGTCATAATTATTATTGCCGTCATATCTTTACACAGCCGTAACCGAAGAAAAAAATGTGTTTTTAAAAGGTTCTATTATAGAATGACTTGCTTGATTATGCTGTTTGTAAATAAATCTCTTAGTTGTACAGTAATACAGTAAATGGCTACCGGCAGCTCGATTTTTGATACAAAAGTCTGAAATTTATGGACGACAGTGTTGTCATGACTCGGCAGGCCACCGTTATTGTCCGCGTGATTTAGGGAAAGTATGTCGACGCAAGAGCCATATTAAGACGTATGGCTATTGCGTCGACATACTTGCAGTAACGATACGGGTCAAGAACTCCCCACGAAACTACCTCCAGCTCTACTCTGCAGGGAGTCCTTAGTGTCGATAAGCGGCTAATGATCATGCGATCGTTAATTGTGATGACAATTTACTGAACCTGTCAATTGATCTCCCGCGTAATCGCTTTCGCGTGGCTAATTAATCGTGTAATGTGTGCACCAGCACCACAGGAGGCCCCGCATGCGGAAATGGCCAAGATTTTATGTGATTTCGTCGTTTACAAATGATTATCGGTAGTACTGCGTCATCAGATTTATTACGCCTTTCCACTACAACCGGCACAAAACTGCCGGTACCATCAGGAAGTAACCGGAGTATACCGTGTCGTCTGCAAATTATACACAGATAAATCAACGGGCATATGCCGAAAACGTATCACCAGAACATCATTTTTGTGATATTATCACTCCGGGCAATAACAAGAAAGTTGAAGAAACCAATGCGCAGCTTATTACGCACTGGTATAAAACCCAGGCCCGGTTTTGCATCACACCACAGTTATTAGCATCCAAAGTACAGATTTCAAAGTTTAACTCTTTGCATACGACGCATCGGATACTCGGCACTCCGGTATTTCTCTACAATACCGTTTCCACGGGTCACCCTTCCCGCCATGTCGCTTGCGAAAGTTCTGGAACAACCCGCTGTCATTCCTTGTACGCCACCCGTAACTCCCACTCCAACTCCTCCCGCCATATCTGCTTTCAAATACAAATTTGGCGATGAAGGATACTTGTAAGTGACCCGCTCAGAAATCATCCAATCATCCATACGATATGACTTTAAAGTGCATAATCTGGTATACAGACTGGATTATCACGGTACCCGGGTCATGTATCCCATGTACGAAAGCCTGCCGGTTGTGGAGCGCTTTGAAGCGGACAAAAAGGACATCTGCATAGTGACCTTTCCTAAATCAGGTAAGTACGCGCTGGCTCTTACGCATGAGCGATGTTTCGTTAGACAAGGCTGCAGTTTATACGCTCTTCCTTTCGATCGATGGCAGGGACGCATTTCATGGGAGCAATCGTCTGGATGATTCTGCATGACGGCGAACCTTCTTCACTGCTGGAGGGCGATGTGTTAGATGGAAAGGTCCCTTGGTTAGAGTACTCGATGCCGGGAATGAAAGCGAACATGCTGCCGGCTCATACAATGACCGGACAAGAAGGGCCACGTGTCTTCTTTACTCATTTGGGATACAATGCGCTGCCGGAGAGTATCAAAACCCAAGCCAAGGTAAAAAATTTTATAGCATTTGATAGTAACTACAGCTATTTAATTTTACCATATTTTTCGGATTTAAAGCCTCCTCTACCATATAAGCCTCCTCATTTTACAGTATTCCTCCTTTTTTTAAATGCTCCATGATTTACGTACGCCTCTCCTACTATCGATAAAAAATTAAAATCCCCGGGCTTCTAATTCGAAAAGCACCATGACTCATCAGTGACATACAATGACATGGCCGCATTCAGTACAGCGAGCCCTAAATAATATGACAGTGCATAAATAAAAATTGCATAGTGTATCCAAGTAGATTATTCTTGACGTAATTTATTACATTTGTTTTTCCGAAACGCAATAAATCTACCGCTCATATAGTATCAATTTCTTTCTAATAGGTGATTTATGTTGCTCGCAATCCAAAGGATGTCATCGTCTCTGCGAACTATTTCTTCCGGGCGTTGACCTTCACCGGGTGTAGCCATACCATGGAGGAGACTATCCAGTCTTTCAAGAACAACACCTGTGTTTATGCGCCCTACTTCGATCATGTCGCCGGTTACCGACGAAAGGTGTCCGACATGACCAATTTATTTTTTGCCACTTACGAAGAGATGGTGCAGGTAAGAGAGCTACGCAAATTACCTGCATTTAATTCTAAGGTTGTGTGTCGTATATTCTCTCCCTTTATTTTAATATATTTTAATATGAAACACAATAATTCGGAACCCTCGTTTTCTTCGGTCTCTCCTGATATACTGAATTGTTCTGCAGAATTTAGAGAATGCTGTAAAAGGAGTAGCTGGTTTCTTGGGAAAGCAGCTGACTGACGCACAGATAGCCAATATTGTGCGATACTGCTCGCATGCCGAAATGAAAGTCAACGGTGTGACCAGTCATATCCATCTGCACAAACTGGGCCTGATGGATTTCAACATTGCCCCTTTTATGCGGAAAGGTAACCCGTTGAGTGCACTGCGAAATAATGAGCCCAGGAAACTTTCAACCTATCCGTCGTAGGTATCATTGGGGATTGGAAAGAACACTTCAGCCCGGAGTTAAACCGCCAGGTGGATGAATGGATTGAGCAGGAAGAGGACCGGGTCCAGCACGACCTCAAGGGATTCCGTTTCCAGTACGAGGCATAAAGTATCGGTCATGATGAGTTTTTGCTTTGCTGCATATACTGGATGCTTCTCAATACCGCCTTTCACTCTGCAATGCGCAGATAACGCTGTACAGCTCCTATATATCACTGTTATCAATACGTATTCAAATACTAAAAATCCGTGAAATTTTACTGTGAAACTGTTCGCCTGTGTACATACTACATGCCTGTGAATAAATTCAACCAAATCATACAAAATTTCTTCCGGATGACCGAACTTGTACATACAAGATATACATATATAAATTTTAACGATAAAATATGCATGTATATAGGGGGCAAAAGTAAACGTGTTCCACCGTTCCCCTGTACTGCTGCCGTCACCCGGCTGGAGTTTGACGTTGTGGCTGAACATGGCGCTTATGTACCGCGCCAGATTTAACCATATATGTTGCCGTAACGCCACACTCCAGGCGGGTCACTTCCTTATTAACTGGTTTGCATGGTGCAGATAACGTCCAGGAGATTAAACATTTCGAGATTTGTACCTATTTGTTTTTGTAGTCCAACGCTTTATTTGTTTTTCGCTCCCTTTTCGATCAGTTTTAGCACTTTTCTGAAGGTCAAATTTTTTGCAAACAATATCACTCGATAATGTGTGAGACTGTGGCACTGGATACAGATAGCCATACAGAACAACCCGGAAATGTCGACTTTATTGGCGATATTGTCGCCAGATCTACAACAACCAAACCAAAACAAGTGGATTCTGCAGCCATCTTAGCCGTGCTGCAGATCCGTCAAAAAGCATGAAAATTCGAGAATGGGAGATCTTCCAGAAGCTGGAAAGCAGAACAGCCAACAGGTAGTCATGAGGGCGTTCGTTTTGGCCGGTTACAACAGTTTTTGTTGTGCTTTCAATAAAACAATTATTGCTTCCTAGAGCAACACGCAAAAATTAAACGAAACGCTATCCGTAAATTATGATAATTTTATTGACCAATACATGTGTAGTGAGGTTGGCGAAGTTGGATATATTTTTAGTTTCCTTATTGAAAATTTAACGCATTCATTTTCATCTGTAATGCCAATTAATCATTGGACTTTCTACCGAATTTCATTCCTTGTATTTTACTATTATTTTCTGTGCGATGGAGAAAAATATGTGCGACTTTATTTAGTAAGTAATATAAAATAAGTAATATAAAATAAAAATAAAATAATAAATAAATATAAAAAAATATAAAATAAGTAATATAAAAATGTAAGTGTTGCATTTCTTCACAATATTCAAGCCAACGTCGCTTATACTTCCAATAATAATAATATCAATTTCGATAACAGTTTAACGCTAACGCACTCCATATACGCAAGCATTACAATACTTAACATTTGTGCAAGACGAATCAAGTAAAGTTATAGACAAACATCGAATTCGAAGCATCCAAGCGAAGCTCTTTAAGCCGCGATATTGTATGTTTCGTACTGGAAATGAAATCCCTTCAGTTCGTTGTGAAGACGTTGCTGTTCCTGCTCAATCCATTTATCCACTTGGCGATTGAGTTCCGGGCTGAAGTGGTTCTTCCAGTCACCAATGATTCCTAAAAGTGTTGAAATCTTTAAGTTCCTCATATCACATCATATTTTACTCGCAGGTTTTCGTTACCTTTCCGCATGAATGGTGACACGTTAAAATCCATCAAGCCCAATTGGTGCAGATGGGCCAGATTGGTTGTATGGTTGTTTTGCATTTGCTCACGCGAACAACATCGCATAATGTTAGATATCTGCATGTTATCCAGTTCTTTCCCAAGGAAACGCGCAACTCTCTTTATAATGTTTTCCACATCCTGGAATAAATTCAGCATAAATAACACCAAACAAATGGAAGACAGGAGTGTACGTATCAAATTCGGATAAGAGCTATCGTGCATAATAATGCAGGTATCATAATTTATCGCATGTACGGTATATATCTGTACTTCTACACTAACTGTACATGCTGCCGTATTTAATGATTAGCGCAGCGTCCTCACCTGCACCATTTCTTCGTAAGTGATGAAAAACAAATTGGCCATATCGCTCACGTGTCGTCGGTATCCGGCGACGTGGTCGAAGTACGGACCAAAGGCGCAGACGTTATTCATAAACGACTGGAAGGTCTCCTGCACTGTACCCGTGAACTGTTTAAATTTCAACGCCCGGAAGAAATAATTCGTGGAGACGATGACATCTTTTGGATTGCGCGCGATATAGATTACCTGTTGGAAAAAACTCAGTGTGATAAACTAGCCTTTTATCTCTACGTACATCACAAAATATTCAACACGTGCGTTTCTAGCCGCATTTTAATGCTTAAATTATAATTGGAAAAATGCTTAGTGCAACTGAAAAATGTACAGAGCTTTCACCAAATCGCCTTGGTATGATATTAAGCGATATACTGCTTTCGGGTAAATCTATTCAAATGTCTCGTTGGCGATTTAGTCACAACCGCGTACAGTTAGTAGAGCTACTTACCTTGGCATGGGTTTTGATACTTTCCGGTAGCGCATTATATCCTAAATGAGTGTAGAAGACACGCGGTCCCGCTTGCTTGTTCAGCGTATTAGCCGGCAACATGTTGGGTGGCATTCCCGGCAGCGCATACTCCAGATGAGGCACCTTTGCGGTTAAAACATCCCCTCCAGAAGCGAAGCAGGATCACCGTCATGCAGAATCATCCAAACGATCGCTGCCATCAAATTCGTCCCTACCATCAACAAAACCCGCGCGTACATTAACGGGATATACTTGTTTGAAACATGCCAATATTTATGGCTACTTTGAAAATTTTTTCTGTGCCTTGCTTTGGTCCGTTTTAGAAGTGTATAGGCTCATTAGAAAGCTCAAAAATCGCGCTTTTTAACAGATAGATTTTCAAGAGCAGCGCTAAAAGCACAAATGTTAGAAAAATTTTTATGTTGCGTTTGCCTTTAAAAAATCCCATCCAAGCAGTAAATGGAACATCTTCAGGTTTGATGTTTTCAGTTGAAACATAAAATTATTTTACCTACTGGGTTTATTTGAAAACAACTTTGAATGAAAAGCTAAAAAGATGTGAATTTTTAAACATAGAACTAATTGTTCTTACCGATAAAACCACTGAGCGCTGGAGTTCGAAAGATTCTATCGCAAAACCAAGAAAACCCAGTATGTAGAATAATTTTCTGTTTCCAATGGTACCAAGAACATCCAATTCCATTGCGGCAATGGAATACAAAACGCGTAGAACTGTCCAAATATTATTCCTAGTAAATTAGGGTCTTCGTGTTTCGAAAATGGTCCGCTGCATCGGTGACGAGTTTGAGGAGACAACCACGCTACCTGCAGGCTGCGCATGGCGTTCATGAAATCGCAGCCTGCGCACGGTCATAGCGCTACGCAGACACGCAGCCCTCGTGCGGTTGGGTACACTTTGATTCGAAATGTGGTGGCAGCTACGTGAATCGAACCGTGCTGCTGCACCCGTGCGTCATTTTAGACCCCCGGTACTTTTTGGTTTTAGACAGATTTCTGTTTCTTTTCAGTTTCTATGCTTTTCAAAAGATCTCTCATTTTAAAGAGCATTTTTTTCTATTCTATAAAATGTAGTTACTGTAACTTCTCTAGGAAAGAAGCAAAACAAATAGATCGCCTTAAGCAAGCAACACAAAAAGTCCTCTTCGGATAAAATCTCATATCCACTGATGGTAGCAGCCTCCTAGGAGGTATATATGTCGAATGCGCTTACCGGATTTCGGGAAGGAGGCTATGCAGATGTCCTTATCGTTTGCTTGGAAGCGCTCCACAACCGGCAGGCTTTCGTACATGGGATAACACACTTTGGTACCGTGATAATCCAGTCTGTGAATAATTTTGTACGCTTTGTGTGGTAACGTTTAAATGATCTGGTAGTTTCTCAATTCGGTACCACTTACAGGTACCCTTCATCGCCAAATTTGTACTTAAAAGCGGCTGTCGCTGCAGCAGTCGCGGCGGCGTTGATAGTAGCGGTTGTTGTACAGGGAATTTCAGCTGATTGTCCCACAAATTCCGTATGCGCCATGTTAAAGCGGTCACTTGGGGAAGAAATATCGGAAAAGAATACCTGAGAGCAGGGCAGCGGAAAAGAGTTTGACGTTACCGTTATATTTTGTCACAAATTATTTCAAAATTTAATTGTGGCTTTATGCAAAACATGATGCGGTTTTTATAGCGATGCGCGGTAAACCGCATATTATGTCTTGTTATTGCCTTCTTGTTATTACCTATCGTACAAATAGTGTGCTGGAAAAGCGCTTCCATTGTGATATGCTTGTTAATATGCGGCTGATTTCCAGATACGCACCTGGCTCAGCCGGCAAGTGCGGTTGTAACTGGAAAACCGCAACAACTTTACTGACGTATTGGCCTGGTTAATAATTACTTTGCAAAATTGTTCTGATAGTGTAATCTTTCATTTCTGCGTGATGTGTTTATTGCGGTGCTGGTGCATACATATTGCCGAGCATCATTTGTGATGAGTTTAATTGATGAACGAGCAAGATAACGTTCATAATATTAATCTGTGAATAACTGGAAGAGATGGTGATTATGAAGTACAGAATACTGATGGATTATGGTCTGTCAGCTGTCTGATTGCGCATTCACCGTTATTTCAATCATGGTCAGAATCAAGTGACCAGTTTAAGGAATACACTGTGGTCGCATAGTCGGTATATGCTGTAACATTAGACAGTGTAAGTAGAGTCTGTTGCTTGGAAAGAAAGCTTTTTGTTCTCGCAGATAAAAAAAAATACCTAAATACAGTTTGAACTGAGCCTTTTGGACAACAACCGATGTGGCACACATTTTGGGCTGAATCATCACCAAAATTTGCAGAACGCATTCGAGCTAGTTTGTCATTGTACTGAAACGTTCATGGTCACACTCTGCCTAAAAGCCGATTTTATAAGAAACTTTGTAGCAACTGTCCACACTTGATTCAATAACCCTCTGCACCTTGAATATGCGTCCTACCTAGGAGTTTTGACGGCGATAACGATTTTGGCTGTTTTTTTAACGTTTAAATTTCTATCATTTTAAGTAGTATTACGCGAATGCACTTTTGTTACATTGATGGCCTTTGCCCAATAAAAGAAAGTAACCCTCTGTGCATATGGAAAATTCTTACTAACTTAATTACGGAAAATTCACACGAATTACTTAATTACGGAAAATTCACACGAATGAACACGCTCCAAAGACGCTTGGATCGCTACTGAAGTATTCACAATCAGTAAACAGCGCAAAACAACCGTGAAAAAACACCGGTCACACAAATCGTTAATTTTTGTATAACAGAAGGATTACGGCGTAAGCAAACTGCAGGATGTCAAAACGGACAGGAGCTACGCATACTGGGATTTTACTCTACTGGTAATAATATTGCTTCCGCCGGTTTATTCTGTCCCGGTGCTGTTAAATTCCAGTGCTTAATTAGTAGAGCGCAGGTTCACCGTTGTCTCTCCATGTTCGTTCCCAATATTTCACGACCATCAGCGTGTAACTGTCCTACATGCAGTGCGCTGCATCAGCATAACCGGTGCTCCATTATTTTCCAGAATTAATGAGCGTGATTATTAGGAGCTGTGCAAGCTCTTTTGACGCTGCCAGTACACGCCACATTAATTTTTCTGTAGTCAGGTGACTTTTTGTGCAAAAACTGACCCCCGGGCCCTCGATCGAGTGTACCAGCTATGTTAACTGGATGAACCATGGACCTGATTCGGCATTTTCCAATAGTACTATGCCAACAGTACTACGTAGTACTGGCAATCCGATTATACACTCATTATCTTGCGAACCAGTTAAATGCAGTATACTAAATGCTGCATGCCACCGTGCACCGACCGGCACCGCATTAAACACCGCTCGCGGAAATTGATAATTACCCTACCGGAACCAATTTGGCAAACAAACTGACCACTTGATTGTTGTAATATGATGGCATACCGGTAGATGCACAAGCAGACCGTAATACAGTCAGTACTGCCAATCCAAAAACAGTAAATAACAGAACCGTACTTAGTGTTCTTGGCAAATCCCCATCTCTTCCAATTGTACATACGTAGGTTATGCACCTTATCTTGCTCGTTAATCAGTTAAGTTCAACGCAAATTATTATTAGCGTGCACCAGCACCACAATGAGCGCCGTACACGGAAACGGATGATTACATTGTCAGATATATTTTGCAAAATAATTACATCCAGGCCCCTACGTCATTAAAATTATTGCGGTTTTCCGACTGTCACCGCAAAATTATTGCGGCTTTCCATTTACCACCACAAATGACGGCTTACCCAGGTGCGCGTAGAAAATCATGCGCACATAAACAAGCATATTTTAATGACAGCGTTTTTCTACCGCACTATTTTTACGATATTTGTACCCGAGGCATAAACAAAAAAATATGCGGCAAAATGTATATAAAACCAGTATCAAATTCTGCATGTAATCACAATCAAATTTTAGAAATAGTTTCTGACAAAGGACACCGGCTACGTTACCAATTTTGCGCTATCTAAGGTATTCTTTCGCGATACCACTTCCGTGAGCGACCGTATTAACATGGTGCAATCAGCTAGAATTTCCTGTGCGACGACCGCAACTGTCAACTCCGGCGAGACTACTGCAGCGACGGCCTCTTTTAAATACAAGTTTGGCGATGAAGGATACCTGTAAGTGACTTTTCGAGCAATCGTAAGAAATTTCAAGCGTATACTGTATTTAAATTATTCTCATAACTATATAGCCTGGATTATCACGGCACCAAGGTTTGTTATCCCATGTACGAAAGCCTACCGGTTGTGGAGCGCTTCCAAGCGACCACCGAGGACATCTGTATAGCCTCATTCCCGAAATCCGGTAAGCGCTTTCATCATACATCTACTGTAGAAAGCTATTACCATAATATGTGCCTATGATATATCGTCAGAATGGAACATCCGTTGTTACTTACCTAATGTTTGGCAGGGAGCCATTTCATGGGAGCGGTCGTCTGGATGATTCTGCACGACGGCGATCCTGCTTCGCTGTTAGAGGGTGGTACTTTAGGATCTAAAATTCCTCGTCTGGAGTGGGCGATGCCGGGAATGGCGGCCCACATGCTGCCGGCTTATAAACTGAGCCAGCAAGCTGGACGGCGTGTCTTCTTGAGTCATTTAGGATATGATGCGCTACCGGAGAGTATCAAAACCCATGCCAAGGTAACCTTAACACGGTGCTGGCTAATTGCCAGCTAAAGCATCTAAACACATAAACCCAAAAGCATTAGAATATCAGTGTACAGCGAACTGATATATGATACGATACGATGTATGATAATATGTAATACGCGCGAAGATATGATACGGCTACTTGGTAGGAGCTTAGTACATTAAACATTTTTCGGATATTATTTGAAGCATTAAAATTAGACTGTAAAAAGCACACATTACATATTTTTTAGCGTAACTGAGCATAAGGATAAGGGAGCAGTTTAGTACCATTTATTCCAACAGGTAATCTATGTCGCGCGTAATCCAAAGGATGTCATCGTCTCCTCGAACTATTTCTTCCGAGCGTCTCCATTTATGCAGTTCAGTGGTACAGTGCAGGAAACTGCCCAGTCTTTTCAAAACAACACCTGCGCATTTGGTCCGTTCTTCGACCACGTCGCTGGATACCGGCGACACATATCTGATATTTCCAATTTGTTTTTCGTCACTTACGAGGAGATGCTGCAGGTGAGCATACGCTGCGCAGCGCAGCATGTAAAACACCTATACATACCGTACATTCGAAAGGGATTGCCTGCAAAGATATACCTTTATAATACCTCATAATACCTTCAGAAATATTTCTCGAAACAACTAGCCGAATAAAGCAATCGCAAAGTACGGCTGCGTTTTTGTATAAGGCAGGGTAGCTTTTATGCTATTTTGATACGTATCTACATAAACGTTTTATGGAAGTAAGCACCATTTGAAAATGGCGAATTTTGAAAAATTAACGCTTGCCTTTGTGTGGTCTTTCTTATCTTGAACTTGATGCAGGACTTGGAAACCACAGTAAAGAGAATTGCAGCTTTCCTTGGAAAAGAACTGGATGAGGTGCAGATATCCAACGTTATGCGATACTGTTCGCGTGAACAAATGAGAGACAACCATACAACCAATCTGGCTCATTTGCACAAATCGGGCGTGATGGATTTTAACGTGTCACCATTCATGCGAAAAGGTAGCGAGAATACGCGACTGCATGGTGAGGTGGCAGTAGAATTCAAAGCATTTCGACATTTCCAGGAATCATTGGTGACTGGAAGAACCACTTCAGCACGGAACTCGATCGCGAGGTGAATAAATGGATTGAGCAGGAAGAGCAGCGTGTCCAGCAAGATCTAAAGGGATTGCACTTCCAGTACGACCACGAGCTCGCAGCATGAAATGTTGCATACTGTGCACTTTATAGTCTCAGATTTGTCCCCACTTTATATTACTCCGAGATCAAACATGCACGGATGTTATTGCAATGATCGTGTATGGATTAAAGCCATTGTAACATGTAATTATGCATTAAATGTACAACCCGGATTTTTGGACCGTTTTTGAGAAAATTGACAACTGTTAATGTCCAGGTAGAACAAGAATCTCTTTATACAAAAATTCTCCCAAACTTTACGAGTAGGTTCACACCGTAATTCATGGAAGAAATCTTAGAGGTATTTGACATTCGTCTTATTAAACAGCCAGTTTTCCAGATTTCTGAAGTAGCTCCATTGTTTTTTCGCCCGTGTGCCCGGAATCGCTTTCCTGGTTCAGGGTGAACTTATCTCCCTCCGCTGGCTGGAGTCGTGGAAGACCTTTCTCGACCAACCAACCTTGAAAAACGGTCTTAAGGTTAAGAGAAACGCTTCGTGAGTTATATGCTTCCACTGTACAGCATTTTATCTGCACAATTAAGCAGACACTAATCCAATAGTACGAGTCCGATGGGATTAAAGCCAATCCGATTATACAGATTTATTATCTTGCAAACCAATTAACTGCAACTAAATGCCGCTTGTTTACGTGCCTCGGCACCGCATTAAACGCCGTACGCGGAACTGGATGGTCATATTATCAGAACCATTTGGCAGAATAGTTATAATCCAGGACACTTGACAGAAAAATTAATGAACTTAGCCAGGTGCGCGTCCGGAAACATTCGCTCATAAATTAGAAAAGTGCACCCGTATCTGGCGGAAACTGCACGACTAAAGCGTAGCAGGAATACAAAAACACCATAAATTTAAGAAGTAATTGCTGCTGCCAGTAAATCATAAGTATTTTTTATCTGCATAGCAAGAATTTTTCAATGACAGCGCATTCCATCAAACCTTTTTATGAAATTTCCACTCGAGGCAATAGCAAAAACATTAGGCGAATTACGGTGCATCAAGATATAAAAACAGCATCACGGTTTGCAAAAAAACGCATTCACATTCTCCAACATTTGTGACAAAGGACATCGGCAACATTAGCGGTTCTGTGCTACCCCGCACTCGGTATTCTTCTCCGATACCTATTCCACAAGCGACCGTTTTAACATGGTGCAATCAGCTAGAATTTCCTGTGCGACAACCGCTACTGTCAACTCCGCCGAGGCTGCTGCGGCCACACCAACTTTTAAGTACAAATTTGGGGATGAAGGATACCTGTAAGTGACCCTTTGAGAAATCATAAGAAATTACAAGCGTATAACTGAATTACTCTCATAATTGTACAGCCTGGATTATCACGGTACCAAGGTGTGTTATCCCATGTACGAAAGCCTACCGGTTGTGGAGCGCTTTCAAGCAACCGCCGACGACATCTGCATAGCCTCCTTCCCAAAATCCGGTAAGCGCTTTCGACATACATCTAGAAAGCTGTCACCATATGTGCATTTAATATATCGTCAGAATGGAACATGCGGTGTTACTTACCTAATGTTCATGCGGTTTCTGCTTGGCAGGGAGCCATTTCATGGGAGCGGTCGTCTGGATGATTGTCCACGACGGCGATCCTGCTTCCCTGTTGGAGGGTGGCACTTTAGCATCTAAAATCCCTCGTCTGGAGTGGTCATTGCCGGGAATGCCAGCCAACATGCTGCCGGCTTACAAACTGAGCCAACAAGCGGGACAGCGTGTCTTCTTGACTCATTTAGGATATGATGCGCTGCCGGAGAGTATCAAAACGCATGCCAAGGTAACGGTTCTGAGTTCTGATTAATTTATTATCTAGACATTTGAAAAGACGATCCGAAAAAATTACAATACAGTCGTACGGCGACTTGGTAAAAGCTGTGTATATTTGCTTCAGTTGCAATAAATATTTTTCTGATAATAGCTGAGCAGTTAATTAAGGCTGGAAAAGCACGCGCTGAATATTCTGTGGTATACTGTGTAGAAATAAAGAGTCGGCTTGTGGCACACAGATTATTTTTTCGACAGATAATCTACATCGCGCGCAATGCAAAGGATGTCATCGTTTCCACGAATTATTTCTTCCGGGCGCTAAAGTTTAAACAGTTTACGGGTACAATGCAAGAGACCGCCCAGTCTTTTATGAACGACACTTGCGCCTTTGGCCCGTTTTTCGACCACGTCGCCGGATACCAACGACAAGCGTCCGATATGGCCAGCTTGTTTTTTGTCACTTACGAAGAGATGTTGCAGGTGATACCGCTGAATTAAACGATTTAATTACGGCATTATGCACAAAACTATACGCATACCGAACATTCAATGTGAAATGTTTAGATTAATACACGATAGCCTTAATTATGCGAGTTTGATACATATTGTATATTCTTGTGCTTCTTTTATCTGGTCTTTCTGATGTTGAGTTTTTTCCAGGATGTGGAAAAGACCATTAAGGGAATTGCACGTTTCCTGGGGAAAGAACTGGATGAAGTGCAGATAGCTAACATTAAGCGATGCTGTTCGCGTGAAGAAATGAAAAACAACAAAACAACCAATTGTGAGGACCTGCACAATGCGGGTCTGATGGATTTTAAAGTGTCACCATTTATGCGAAAGGGTAAAGAAGACCTGCGAGTGCATGATGAAGTGGTGTAAGAAACTCGTAAGTAATTCCTCGTTTTAGGAATCGTTGGTGACTGGAAAAACCACTTTAGCCCGGAACTGAATCACCAGGTGGACGAATGGATTAAGCAGGAAGGGCGTCGTGTCAAGCAAGATCTAAAGGAATTTCACTTCCAGTACCAGGATGAATCTATTGAGCAGGAAGAGCGTCGTGTTAAGCATAAGCAAGATCAAAGGAAAATCAGTTTCAGCACGACCACGTGCTCGCAGGATAAAACAGCGTGTATTAAAAATTTTTTTTTGCCCTTCAGAACCTCTTGCTTGTCCACACTCTTTGTTTCTTCGTCATACACAGGCTTACCTGCAAAGATCCAGTACATTAACCATTGTTTAAATAGTACATTTGCAATAAACGTACAAGCCGGATTTCAAATGGGTTGCGTACACGAGCAGCGAAAAATACAAGTTTGTGGGTTACACACCAGTTACACCACATAATTTTGGCGTTTCTGGTACTTCGTATTCGGCACAGGCTCGTGCACGCCAAATGTTGATCTAGACACATTCGTTTAATTATTCCTTTTAATGTACAGGTAGTTATTCTTGAGCGTGCCGAATATCATCATTAACTTTACAAACATCATTAGTTTCCGTCTTTCCGATGAATATTTAATGCTTTCTTCTATAAAATTTGTGTGTTTCTTCTCGTCTTTGTAACTACATTATACCTCATACTTCCTCCGTCCTCGAGCACTTCCTTGATGTGTTATTCTGGAAACATCAAAACTGACATTTTCATAGTGCAGCGGAGTATCCTGTTTTCATATGCGTTTGTCGAGTGCTTTTTGATTACGGCACAGCCACATTTTCGGTGACTTGACAGCATATTTATAAACGTAAAAGTCAGTATCGGACAAAACGGAGAATCAATAAAACATTTTTGCAAAAAAATGGCTTTTGCCGTGTAAGTGTTGTACTATGATGTTTCTCGTAATTATCGAATTTACACCTCCCTCCATAATAAGACCCCCCTCCGTAAAAAGCGCCCTTCTCATACCTAGTTGAAAATACAACTCACTCAGCGCCCAGTGAGTGTTTACAAAATTTAATGTCGAGCGCTACAAAGTGGTGGGTACTGTACAAGTATGCGATTAAAACAAGTGCCGAAAAATGCTTTAGAATTACGTACTAGGAAAGAACACTCGCTTCTGACGGGCACTGCTTGAGCTTCTGACACTGCTTCTGACGAGCACTCATAAATTTATTACCTAGGTGCTGTAATAGCAGGTGCCTGTAAATTATAATAATGACCTATGTTTCATCAATACAGCAGCAAAAATTTGTAGAATCTGTGTTAGGATTATGAAGTGTGAGCATAGCGTAAGTGCAATCCTGTAACCGGTGAAACCATCCGGACAGATTAACATTCCGTTGTTGTAGGGAAATGACACAAATTTAGAATGGGACAGTTTGCCGGCCATCCTGAAAAATATTCTGTAAAACCCGATTAGATGAAAGTTGTTTTTGTTAAAATTAAAGTGGACGTACGTCCAAATTACGTCCAAATACGGTATTTTGCTTGTCACATCGAGCAGCTGTGACGTTTTCCGTGGCAATACTTCCAGGCTTGCATTGCAGTCTCATGGAGCGGGTGAATTGAAAAGCCCTTTAGCAATAAATACCCACGGTTACCATACATCGTGAGTATGCACGAGTGCACGACCACTAGTACTGTGCCTTTTATCCTTTTAAGTGAGGTGGCGGTGACGGACGGACGTAAACCATCGGTTACATGCAGTGTAACAGGGATGCAAAATGTCAACGTCAGACTCTCAAAGAACCATACTTTATCGCTGAAAATTCAGTACAACTTGAAATCGACGCTACAACCTTACATAAGCATAGCGTAGCATAGCATAGCATAGTTACGACCTTACATAAGTGGATTGGGTGGCGGTGACCGACGGACATTATAATTTACAGGTGCCTTGGGTATACCGCCAGCGCGCGTATGTGCATTTTAAAGTAGGAAAGCATTTGAGTGGCGGTGACCGCATATGTGCATTGAGTGGCGGTGAGTGTGACCGACCGGCACCACATTTTTCGTAAACGCTGAACACAGAGGACCTTCACTACGCTTCGGTCGATAATGTAAGCGGTCAACTTGTCAGCACATTATCACAGTCCAATGGAATCCATTGAAACAGCGGCTAACATCTTCTAGAAATCTCCTTATTATTGCTTGATGGCACCGATAACGTGAGTCAAGATATCAAGATTCTACGGGCAGCGATTCGCCGTCTTCTGATAGAAAGTTAGAAACCTGGTATCTCAGCTTATTACGGTTAACGCATTTGCGGCTTAGAACCAGCGAAATGAATCGAAAATCAGCAACAAAGCGCAGATATAGCTAAAAAAACATCCAGAAAATTCGATAGAACACTGCGCAAGAGTACTGTAGGGCATGGCGATGTCGCTGGCTAGGCGCACATTATCTTCGACGGCGGATTTTCGGACCACCGCGATTGCCCGTGGTCCGAAAACCAACTGACATGAACGGAGTTTGTAGCCAGCGTAACTCACAACCTAGCCGTGATAAAGCATGAAAATGCCCAGACAGGAAAAGACCTAGAAACCAACCAATGGCAGAGGTGCTGAATCATCAGATATGCGAAAGCCTGCCCTGACAGCGAACAGTTTACAGTTACCGATTTTAGACAACGGCACCAAAAGAATTTTTAAAACAATTCAAATATACAGTGCTGATACGATCGATGGGCTGAACCACTTTTGCCAGCTGGTTTGCTCTAGTTTTTATCGAACTATAATACAAAACAAGCTTTCAGCATGGAAACCTTAAATGCAAAAGATGTCGGACAAACAGGGGTCATATGGACATTTGATACTAAGTAAGTTTTTCTGTTGTGTCGGATGATCTATGGAAATTTTTGAGAAAAACTGTTCCAACTTAACCCGGCAGGGCTGTAGATACCGCTTGTTAAAGTGCAACGGCACCGCATTAAACGCCGAACGCAGAAATGTTCCAGAAGTGAACAGACTATTAATTGGATGGATTATGGTCTGGTACAGCATTAATTTATCTGCACAATTAAGCAGGCACTGATCCAATATGTAGTCCGAGTCCTACTGCCGATCCGAGTATACACATTTATTATCTTGGAAGCCAGTTAAATGCAATTAAATGCCGGTTGTTGACGTGTCCCAGCACCGCATCCAACGCCGTACGCAGAAACGTATGATCACATTATTAGAACCATTTGGCAAAATATTTTTTATCCAGACCACTATGTCAATAAATTAATGCGGTTTTCCAGCTACCACCACAAATGCCAGCTTGGCCAGGTGCGCGACTGGAAAGTATTCGCACTAAACTAGAAAAGCGCATTCGCTTCTGGCGAGCATTGTATGGCCGAAACTTAGCAGGAATACGAGCACATCACAAATTTATTAAGTAATTGCTGGTGCTAGTAAATTATAAATATTTTTTATCTTTTTGGCAAGGGTATTTCAGTGACAGCGCTTTTCCATCAACCATTTTTCCGATATTTCCACTCGAGGCAGTAGAAACAATACGCGACTTACCGTGCATCGGTACTGTATATAAACAGCATCGGAGTTGCAAAAAGCTGCACTTACATTCTCCGACAATTTGTGGCAAAGGACACCGGCAACGTCAGCGGTTTTGTGCTACCTCGCACTAAGGAATTCTTGTCCGATACCTTTTTTCGTGACCTTTAAACATGGTGCAATCAGCTAGAATTCCCTGTGCGACAACCGCAACTGTCAACTCCGGCGAGGCTGCTGCGGCGACATCCTCTTTAAGTATAAGTTTGGCGATGAAGGATACCTGTAAGTGACCTCTTGTCAAATCATAAAACATTTCAGGCGTGTAATTAAATTATTCTCGTAATTACGTAGCCTGGACTACCATGGTACCAAGGTGTGTTATCCCATGTACGAAAGTCTACCGGTTGTGGAGCGCTTCCAAGCGACCGCCGAGGACGTTTGCATTGCGTCCTTCCCGAAATCCGGTAAGCGCATTCGACACCCGTACCTCCTAGGAACCTATTAACATTTATATATGAACGGGAGTTCCCATTCTGGGAAGAATGGGAATTACTTACCAAATGCTCATGTGATTTCTGCTTGATGGCAGGGAGCCATTTTATGGGAGCGGTCGTCTGGATGGTTCTGCACGACGGTGATCCTGCTTCGCTGTTGGAGGGTGGTACTTTAGCATCAAAGATCCCTCGCCTGGAGTGGTCGTTGCCGGGAATGGCAACCAACATGCTGCCGGCTTACAAACTGAGCCAACAAGCGGGACAGCGTGTCTTCTTGACTCATTTAGGATATGATGCGCTACCGGAGAGTGTCCAGACGCATGCCAAGGTAACTTTAACACGGTTCCGACTAATTTGCCCGCTAGGACATTTGAACCGGTTGAGCCAGAAATGTTACAACATCTGAATACGACGATTCCTAGACACACTGCGCATTTTCTTCCGTTCCTTTTATCATTTTTTTTACATTAATCGAAGCAATAAAATGAGGCTGGAAAAAGCACATATTGAATATTTTGTAGTGTAGAGATAAAGAGCCAGCATAAAGAGCCCACTGAGTTTTGTTCAAAAAAGTTGACGCTTCCGAAGGTAGTAATTCTTTCTAACAGATAATCTACATCGCGCGCAATGCAAAGGATGTCATCGTCTCCACGAATTATTTCTTCCGGGCGCTAAAATTTAAGCAGTTCACGGGCACAATGCAGGAGACCGCCCAGTCTTTTATGAACGACACCTGCGCCTTTGGTCCGTTCTTTGACCACGTCGCCGGATACCAACGACAGGCGTCCGATATGGCCAGCTTGTTTTTTGTCACTTATGAAGAGATGTTGCAGGTAATTACTGTGCGCTAATCGATTTAGTCACGGCCATATCGTATGTACAATTTGGTTTGCATACCGGACTTTTCGATATGAAATGTCCACATTAATGGACGAATTTATGCGAATTTATGCGAATTTGATACGTATTGTATACTCTTGTCCTGCTTTTATCTGGTCTTTCTGATGTTGAGTTTTTTTAAGGATGTTGAAAAGACCATTAAGGGAATTGCACGTTTCCTTGGGAAAGAACTGGATGAGACGCAGATAGCTAACATTAAGCGTTGCTGTTCGCGTGAGGAAATGAAAAACAACAAAACAACCAATTGTGAGGACCTGCACAATGCGGGTCTGATGGATTTTAAAGTGTCACCATTTATGCGAAAAGGTAACGAAAACCTGCGAGTAAAATATGAAGTGGTATGAGAAATGTAAAACATTAACACTTTTAGGAATCGTTGGTGACTGGAAAAACCACTTCAGCCCGGAACTCAATCGCCAAGTGCATGAATGGATTGAGCAGGAAGGGCGTCGTGTCCAGCAAGATCTGAAGGAATTTCACTTCCAGTACCAGGATGAATCTATTGAGCAGGAAGAGCGTCGCGTTAAGCATAAGCAAGATCAAAGAAAAATTCAATTCCAGCACGACCACGTGCTCGCTGGATAAAACAGCGCGTATTTTGAAAACTTTGCTTTGCCCTTTAGAACATCTTGCATGTCCACACTCTATATTATATGTACTTCGACGCTTGACTAAAAACGAGAATACATACTTTGAACATTTCTAATAAATATTTTCTTCATGCGCATTCGTTCGGAATAAAAGTTTAAAATTTTGCAAAGCCGGTACAAAGTCGTACAAAATTTGAGGGGGCCGGTACAAAGCGGTACTCGTAACTGTGCTCTAGCAAGTGTTTGAAGATTGCTCCCAACTTCCCTAAAAAATCACACAGCCCGATAAACTAACGTACAAACAGCCCGTACTTCTAACGCACCGTATGGTTTAGGGACCTTGAAATGTCGTACAAAAATGCCGACAAGAAAGCCGTGAGGCTGATTTGTGAGTAATGTTTTGTGCTCGGTGTTGAACGAATATCAATAAAATTTATAATTTTCTTTTCAGTTTATTTCATGCGCTTAGTAATTTATAAGTTTTGTATCCATGCAAAAGTTTTCTAAGTTTCCAGGTCACCTTGAAAGTGGGCTGGATCGTTTGCGGCATCAAGACGATTCTGATCGAATGTTTTCGAAAACAAAAATCATGTGAGCCAGTTCTGGACCACGGTCGATCTAATGGTGTTGTCAGCTTTTTTCAAAATTTCCTGGTAAGCGAGATCTGAAAGTATGGTTGATCGGGCGTAGTATACAGATCTTCTCTTAATAACGAGCAATTATTAGTAACAAACTAAGAAGATAATGGAACCAAGAGAGCACTGCTGCTGTAAAATTCATCCTAATAGATTCCCAATACAGAAAATAAAGATATCACACTTCGTTAACACAGGAACGACACAGTTTCGCAGCTGGTTTCAGACGGAGGTGATCAGCTGCTGGGCTTCTTCCAAACTGTTCCGCATCCCCCTTCGTAATTGTTTAGAACGGTCCAGGTGAGCGGTCAGCGCTCGGAGGTCTTTGGCTTCGTTCTCTAGCGCTTTATCAATTTTCCACTGCATGCGTTGGAACCTTTCGCTTAGTTTGTGCTCTTTCCGCGAAGGTCGAATTTCTTTATAAACAGTTATGTGGGTGTCGTCAAAGGACCGACAGCAACATGTATCTTTGACAACATTCCACACATTTGCTCTTCCTTTGAGGTCATAAAGCTGCAAAGCATCATGTTTGAGCACATTTTGTCGATATTCAAATCAGCATTATAACCGCCGAGATACTAAACTTTGTCTCTCAAAGCTGACGAGTTGTTTCGGCTGGTCTTACTTGATAGCGCCTGACGCCAATATAGGCGCATAGAATACAACATCCACACAAAAATATTCCCAAGAAAATCGCAGCCGAGACGGAGAACAGTTCCAGCGTTTCATATGAGCGAATGGTGTCGTCCAGAGAATTATTTTGCGCGCTGGCTGACGTCAGTAGGTTTGGATGCCGGGATATGTGCTCGCATTTTGCGCCGTAGTACGGCGATAAGCACTGGCATTTCGGTCCGGTTTGCGTGGCGATACACAGTCCGTGGGGGCCACAGTAGTTTGTCGTACACTCGAGAATGACCTTTTCGCAATCGACTCCCTGTGAGAGCGAAGATTAATGTAACAGGGTAGCTCAATCTCCCTGCACACTAAACTGTGCCATGCTGAGAATCAATTCGATACCGTCTGTTGCACAGTAATGCTGGATATTGCAAACGGTTCTTACTTGAAAACCCAAGTTGCACTGACATTTGTAGTCCCGATGTTCTCCAGGAACAGTAAAACAACTGCCGCCATTCTGGCACGGATTATCTGCACAGTTCAGTTTGCGTACACACTCAAACTGCAGCATGGTCTGTCCCGGTGGGCAACGACAATAATAGGTCCCCGGGGCACTGATGCAGCGTGCTCCCGGTGGACAGGGCTTGGAAAACTGACTTTCGCAGGTGTTCTCCACTGTTTCGCAGTGCCGGCCCCGAAAGCCAAGAGGGCATCGGCATGTGTAATCTTCCGTTTCCGGGCCGTAAAATACACACGTTCCGCCATTTGAACAGTGGACGCAGGCGGCCATTGATTCGTGTAGGTTTACAGCAGAAGAGCAGATGGAACGAAATACGTTTATTTTGATGAGTTGAACAATTTTGCCATAATTTGTTAAATCCTTTTCTTTTTATTTGTTTTCCGTGTTGTCATAGCAATCATTATTGCATAAAAGCACAGAGATTAACACAAGCGGTGCCTATAAATCTGGTATCGATAACATTCTGTCCATTATATCTGCACATTAATTACTAATATGAAGAAACAGGCGCAATGAATTTACGAAATTCGATTTAACTCACTAAATAAACAATCAATGAACTCATTTTATGAAGCTTATTAACACGGTTTAAACGCTAACGTATATAAATTCACTATGCACTCGAAGAACAAAAACTCAATTCATGCGTGATAGTTCCATCCGCGTAAGAGACAGTCAGGCTCTGTTACCACGACAGCTCGCTGGTTAGCGTTAGTCGTCGAAATCGCAGCTCGCTCAACAGAGCGTGCACCGTAAACCGCGTCAATTTCTTTACGTTCAGGCGGGATAGGAAATCGAAGTTGGTCTCTGTCGGCGCCGGAAACAAAACGTGGCTGTACTGATTGCCATCGCGAGGATCCGGCACTTGAACTTTCATCAAAGCCTAAAAGGTTGTATTGGCACTTGGAAATACCGTACATATAGCGCACGCGTTTTCCATACAGTATACATTTGACTAAAATATTAGTAAGTTTTGAATTTCAATAGTAAGTTAAGCTTTTCGCGAACTGCAAACAGATTTCAGCCCTTTTCTACAGCGAACGTCGAGACCAAGTGAGCTGCCGTACAAAGGCACACATCTCAGGCAGTGATTGTTATATCTCTATTGAATAAATGTACAGAAGCAAACCTGCATTATGCTTCTGTATCGCGAGACGTTTTCCCGCTGAACAGTCTCCTGAATCCACGTCGCAACAGCCTTCAGATCATCGTCCGTTGGAGGAGGAAAACTGTCATCAATCAAATCCCAAAAATCGTTCAGACTCAGAGGCCGATCAGTTCCAATGTTCCCTCGGACAATCACCACTTGAAACTGTCGGCTCTTGCCCACACTCAACAAATTAACCGTCAGACTGCGGATCACCAGTGCTTTACACACCGAGGCAAATGCCGTCAACTCCGCGTGCAGGTCGATAATAAACTCAGCGATGACACTTTCTTGAAATCGCCCGCTACAGACATTCCACTGCTGGTTATGGATAATGACCTTTTGAGCTGGCTGGTAGCCCTTTTCCTGTATAATGCGCTGGAAGACGCCGGCATTCATGGTCGGTAGTTTGTGCTTGAAATGCACAGCATGTGGACAGTTCGTGATGGTGATGAGTTTACTCCAGCGGTGACAGATGCTGGCGGCGTTCAGGTATTCCTCTTCAGCTGCTTCTTCAACGGAGAGATATCCGTATTCTAGACTGGTTCGGTTGCTTAAGAGCGGAGACGTCAATATATCATTCCACTTGTGGCACACATTGCGGTTTCGACACTGTTGCGCAGTATTCAAATACTCGAAAATCTCCCTTGACAAGGCTATGGGCAGCATACAGAAACCGCTCTCCCGCGGCATCGTGTCCTCCGTTTTCAGCCGTTTCCCTCGGCCGAGATGGTCTTCGATGATCTTCCGCTTCAGCTTTCGTTTGCGGCATTTTTCTGAGCAACATGTTTGGTTCCCTTTCAGCTACGAATGATAACACCTGATTGTTACTCCATCAACTTTTGGAACACCGAACAAGTTAGATTCAGTAGAACTGCAGAAGTAATTATCGGACTTTTACCGTTGCGGTGTAGAAATCGCCATCCTTGGCCAGTGTTGCCAAACGGCGATCGAATGGTGCATGGATGTATTTTCCCCGAACAACGGTAGTGATAATCCCGTTCGGCATTGTTATTCGTGCTAACCCGAAAGAGCACATAGCAAAGTCGCCCATCAGCAAAGTGGCGGGATATCGTTTCCACGGTTCTTCTCTTTCAAGACTAATTTCCACTTCTGCTGCGAACTCCTCCTTTTGATCTGCATATACGAGCATTATACGATTATTATAGATTACACGAGTATTATTAAACAGTAAGTACAAAGATGCTGTTGTGAGAGTAATAGAAGCCACCAGTACGGTCGCTCGGTCGGGCATCTGTAGTAAAGGAATGGGGCAATGGTGGTTCGGTTGGGCAGTCGTGAATTATAATTCCCGTAATCCGATTTCCTTCCGGTTTTCGTCTTTACCTGATTAAGTATGTTGGTCGTACCTTGGTACAGAGTGCTTGGAATTTTTTGGTTTTTCCATTTTTATTCTGTGCACCAGTGCATGTGTCCCTCACACACTGCGACGGCGCACCCGCCCGTTTTTGGTGTGGCTTAAAAGTCTCGTAACTGTTTTTTTTAATGACGCACTTGCACGAAAACTCAGGCACTCTGTTAAGGCCGCGTTTTGCTTATTCACGTAATGAAAAATACCAGGACGAACTCGGTTTGTGCGGAATATAATTCATGAATGCCCAACCGAACAACCAGCACCCATTCACTTACTACCCTTTCCAACCGAGCCACCGTACAGGTAGCTGATGGCTGGTACGTTACGTATCTACGTAATACGTACACTGCACACTCTCATTCATTTTAATGAGCACATTATCTTATTGAAACATCGTATGTACACTGTACCAGTGTACAGTACATACAAATAAATCTGTTGTAATAAGAAAATGTGCTTACAGAAACCCTCGAATAGAAACCCTACAGAAACCCTACAGAATGAGCTTACAGAAACCCTCGAAAAAACCAAACCGACGAAGTTCAGAAAAGTATTGGTATATATCATCGACACCTGATTCTGCGCGTAATATCAGTACATGTAATGTTATTCACAAATTTTCTTTTCGTGGAATTTGCATTTTATAAATTTCGATGCAAATGTTTCAACGTTAACTAACTGCACGTAACCGCCACTACTTTCAGGTTGCAATACTTCGTAAGTCGCACCTATTGAACGCGCGTGAAGTTGGCCGGTTTGGCCTTTGGCCTGCAATAAGTTCCAATTCTGCCGAAGGTAGATGCGGTCGAACGGAATCCGGTGTATGAATGGACCGTGGCATTTACTCCCACAGTCAAAATCAATGTATATCCCTTCACCCATGCAACAGCAGCGACACGTTTGAAAGACGCTCCCGCTCAACAGTTCGCCATCAACATCCACAACATCCACCGTGGTGACGCTGCTACCACCGCGTCGCAGGATACAACATGTACGATGGGGCGGCGGAGGTGCACGGTCCGGACCACCGCGCGATTTGCTGTTGGCGAGCTGCCCGGTGGGTCCGGTCCGCCGTTTGGGACCTTCAGCCAGTGGTTTTGGCATTGCCAACCAGTGCAGGTAACTTTAAGCTGAGACAGTCTACTGGGTCGAAAAAATCATGCCACAAGTCACAAGATAATTGGGATGCACTGACTGATGCAATACCAAGAAAACAATCATGGTTTTGCAGATCGCCTCTTCACATCACCGCATCTCTAGAGTACAACGGCGATCAGATAAAAAACCGAGTACACTGGCTACTCTCCGAGGCAGAGTGTTGGTTTGTGACGAGGCCAGAGGGCGCCAATGGCGAAGGTGAAACTGCACACGGTGAGCGGTGTGCCATGCGACACTCGCATTGTCGTATGTGGAACGTTGATTTCATGATGGGACTGGGAGACGTTTGTAACTGCCGAAAAAATAATCTGGGCTCATTATTCTAGGAGCACGCACGAACTGTCTTATAATTCGGTTATCAGTGATCAGGCGGTACCGTAAAATTTGGAGATTGATAAACATGTCTGGCCCAGATCAGGAACGCCTCAAGTCCACGATAGTTGTGTATTGCCGATTAAGGATCGCTGGTTTTGTACGGTTTTCACCGTGCAAAACCAGCGATCCTCAAGCCGCCCATCCGCCGCCTAACCTGGTTGGCTCAAGCTCAAGCACAAATATCTTGATCTTCGCCAACAGCGGCGATGGCACAGTGGCTGTGCTACGTGGATCCCACTCGGTAGCCAGCGGTTCGATTCCGCTCCATCGCCATTTTTCGGAATTTCCTCAACAGACAGGACTTCATCTGACCGCCCTCCCTCGCTGAGATCACCACGGACAGCCGACTTATGGCTGACTCTGTGATAACAAGCATATGCATAAAGCGAGCGGTTTGGCTAGCAGTTATGCTGATCGGTCGTTTGTTTTGTAACGCCCGCCAACGGTGTTGCAATTACCCGGGTGCGCGATTGAAGGAAGGGATTGTAAGCTGGCTGCGGAGCGAGCCGCAGAGGAACACGCGTAATACGCGTTATGACTTTGTACAAATTCAGCAGTTATACAGGCATACTGCGTCAGCCGTCAAGTACAGTAAATACTGTTTCAATGCCAACTCAGTGTGCTCAACTGCTCATAACAGCATTGGCATTTGGCCATGGCGGTATTTTTGCTTTATGCCGGGTTGAAAACTTAAATTATAACAGAAGCGGGCACCGTCGTTTGCTTCACATCTACCGTCAGCTGACCACTTAAATAATTATTACAGTCATTGTTGCAGAATATAATTTTTTTATCCTGCCTTGGAAAAAATGTACGCATTAGACAAACAGAATTCACACATTGAATCCGATCGATGAAACCTTTAGATGGGTCATTCAGAGTCCCGAATGGGACAGAGAAAGATCCGGAAACCAAACTTGGATTTCTGTGCCACCAGCGGGCATCCGGGAAAGGACCGGTTCCCGTGGAACCAGACCGCAGTGGGTGAGAACAAACCACTCCTGTTGGCTGGTACCATAGCGCGCCCAGCACTCCAGCCGGGCACCAGTGTGGTTTGGCCAGGGCACGTGCAGCATCAGTCTCGAAGCGCAGCGCTGGCGATCGTCGGCGCCGGTTCTCTCGGAGGTGGTGGTGTGGATCATCAGCGTCTGGCGGTCAGTTTCGATACAGGCCGTCGGCTGCAGATAGTGATCCGGTGGCCAGGCCAGGTTGGATCCTGGTAGGGCAAGATGGAGTGCTGCGCCGAATCGGAGCCCCATGGAAACGCCAGCTCACAGGTCACAGAAAAGGGCATGTACGGCGGAACAGTTAACGACCGGGGGGAATGCGCTGCGCGAACACCCTGTCCCCTCTTTTGTCTATTTTCCTTCTTTTGGATTGTCAACGTTGAATTTGCAGTTTTTTATCATGGTGTCACGTTCGCGCAGTACAGATACACGCGTTTTACTGTAAGAATTTTTTTCCGGTAATATCAAAGTGACCGAACGTACTCACAGTACAGGCACACTATAAAACATTCAGTTTGCCATAAGTACGAGTACTGCCTGACTTCCGCACATGTGCAGCTATTTCACACCGAGCCGGTAATTTTGCGAGCCGAGCCGGTGAACCGTACAAAAAACAAAAAACATTTTTTTACAAAAAATGTCACAACAAAGCTTCTTTACCAAGCTGTGAAACCGCTTCGCTCCGGTCTGCTAAGGCACGCCAACGTGCATTTTTCTAGTGTGTATTGTACGTCATGATGGCAATTTCCGGCTACGTTTTAGTTTAGCCAATGTACAAAGCTATCCAGGCGAACATGTTGGCGGTACACGCAGCTATCCCTGCCGGGCGGTGGGCATCACACACGTTACGTAGAAAATCGAGCATGGTGCGTGACCTCTCCGTAAACGTGTTCCGTCTTTCACATTGTATCCCAGTTGTCATGGAATGGCCGATATGTCGGCAATCTTCATCGACTTGCTCGATGAAGATTGCTGACTTGCTAGGTTTCTGCGCTTACATATTTTGCAGATGTACGAGAACATTAATGTAGACTCGGGTTTGATGTACTCGTATCTGTACTCGATATTATTATAGACAGAGGTCGATCGAATTTCTGAATGCAGCTTGTAACTTTAGGATAGTGTTTTGTGAACTGAACAGTAACCGAATCGCAGTAGTTGACTACCGTATACTATGCCCATGGTAACAAAGCAGCACATGGTAGCCCTATGGAATCCATGGTAACAAGCGTTAGAGTGACCACTGGGCGTAACAAAATAAGGCTGGCGAAAGGTAAACAGCCCAAGAACAAACCCCGTAGCCTGCAGATTCTGCTGCACTTTAAATCAGCAAAATCGGGTGATTAGAAGCTGAGATCACTGGCCGGGAGGGAGAGGAGCAAAATTCCTGGCACAGATAATTAGTATTCATATAGTTCCGTAACCAGTTTACGGGACTTACATCCGCACCAAATTTCGTGGCGTTCTCTAGTGTCGACGGAAGTTTATTCCGGCCGCTCAAGAAACTTAAAAATAATAAATCAGAGAAAACCTCAGAAACCCTAGCAAACCTAAGAAAACTTAAGAAACATGAGAATCTTAGAAAATCTAAGAAACCTAAAAAAACGTAAGAAACCTAACGTTTTAGTTTAGCCGATGTACAAAGCTATCCAGGCGAACATGTACATGTTGGCGGTACAAGCAGCTATCCCCTGCCGGGCGGTGGGCATCACACACGTTACGTAGAAAATCGAGCAGGGTGCGTGATCTCTCCGTAATCGTGTTCCGTCTTTCACATTGTATCCCAGTTGTCATGGAATGGCCGATATGTCGGCAATCGGCGTAGACTCGTAAATACAGATCTGCAGTTGTGCGCAAAATCAGTTCGATTTAGCCATTAATTTCGGTTGTGTTCCGCAACATTCTGCCATTTTGTTAATTTCCAGCCCGCGGATTTCGATTTCTGTGCTGTAGACTTACAGGATAGTAAACACAAGTATAAGAATATTATTATTATTACTACACCATCTCGATCTTTTCCCATTAAGAAAGTTCACATGTCCAGATCTGCGCTCATTCCCTGCATTGTGTATTGCGTTGTCGAATGACTGTGGATGCTGCACTGGTGCTCGGGATTCGTCGGACATCCCAAGCACCAGTGCAGTATCCACAGTACCCACGCATCATTACAAAGGTCACGAACAGCCAGTCGTAAGTACTCAACGTAAAAATAACTTTTTTTGTCATTTTTATAAGTTAAAGGTGGTCTCTTTGCAAAATTGTTTTACTCCTCTCACTCAGTTTGCAACTGTTAGCGCTACTTTGTAATCGGTAGACAAAATTTTGCATGCCATTTTCGAACCTTCTGGTTAATCTGGAAAAGAGTGTGGAAACAAAACTCCACATTGAAAAGCTAATCGTAAATTAATCAAGATAGAATTTTAACATGTGAAGGCCGATAGCTCCGCCTTCACGATTGGCCATTCGCCGTTGTGTTTCGCTGTTTCTGGGGATTTCCATCCCACACATTTCTGTGGTGTTTGACGGACCTACAGCACAGCTGCGCTGGCTGTAGGATCCGATCTCATTAGTCGGTGTTTGCTGCGCCACGGTGCGCACCTTAGATTTCGGCATTAAAGCCTCAATCCGGGTTCTCCGCTGTTTCGCCGTCGAAGGTACGTGGGCGCCCATAAGGCCCCACGTTACAAACACTAATTAATATATTATTTCCTAATACAATTACGAAAATGCGAAAGGTATTTGAAAGTAAATTTCGAGATTCGAACGTAGTTAGGAAAATTTTTCATTCCTTTAAATTAATGCGCAGAGTAATTTCCAAAACTCGGAATTACTGAAAAAGTTTGATACAGTTACTAAATTAATTTGCAGAAGAACCGTGAAGTTTCTTGGCTGTTTTTAAATTTAGGAATAGACTTTACTTTCCGAATTAATTTCCGGTTTTCGAATTTAATTTCTGCATTACTTTCGAGGTTTCCGGAATACAGTTTTTTATTATATACTCAATTTAAAGTTTGGCAATGGGTACGCGCTAGAACAATCCCGCACTATGAGTTTTGGCTACGCGCGAGAGTTTCTCGCGCTATGAGTATTCACTACGCGCGAGTTTTTCTCGGCACAATAGAGATAAAGTTACAAACCAAATGTTTATGCGACGAAAAACCGCGCGAGAATATCTCGCGAATATTTTCGATCATTAGTTTCGGCAAAAACTGGAGATTGTACGCTTCTTTCCATTCATTTTTCGAACACACGCCCCGATATGTCAAATTTATAATTTCCTGAGATGGTGAAGTTAAGAAACAGAGCCGAAAGTTGCTGCCCACATACTAGGGTACGGGTTTAGCTACTCGTAAGTATGTGAGCAATATTCACAGCGCAACTGATCTGTATCCGCTAGGCAGATGCAACTGCCGGCGTATTTCCACCGTGGTGCTCCACGTCGGTGTTCTTTTCCGTTTCGCCTTCTTTCTGGAAATGTTGGGGGATCTTCTCCCGGACCACATGGTTATGGTCTTCTGAAGCCGGCAGGTGAATGACCTCCATCATGCCATCCACAAGTTTTAAGCGGACCACTTTCTTTTTCGCAGTTAATTTTTCGAGTTGTCGTAATGTTTTTCTTTATGGGAACCGAATTCCGCCGGTGTGGACGGTAAGCGCCAGCATTTTTGTTGACCCGCTTCAGTGAGCACTGAGCTGTAAGTGTAGGGGAACCGCCGTGGCGGCAATGCCAAACGGTCAAAGACGCCCGCTTCATGACACGTTCCCGGGGAACATGAAGCGGATGCGTCTTTGACCGTTTGGCATTGCACAAATTATGGCGGCAATTTGTAAAGACCTGATGTGTTCGCTGGCTCGATTGCTCCACCGCTCTTAAAACCTCCGCGTACGATTCATATCTTTTTTCCACATTAAGTTCTGACGCCATAACGGCTGAGAGTTGTGAAAACTCGAATCATCAGAAAATTTTTGACAGTCTGACATTTTAAGTGAAGCCAGTCTCCGATGTGTGAGCACTAATAACAACGGTACATGGCTGGAAGCGCTTCCAGCAGCATCCCATGGGAACTTCCTTAAAGAAACTACTCTCAGAATTTCTGCCGGCCTGCGTCTCGGCGTACCGATCACAATTCCTCACCGTTGCATTTGTGGTGAATGAACCGATGCGCGAGAATACCATGGTCTGAGCTACAAAAAGCCGGGACCGGAAGTCCAGACACACTTGCTCTAAAACGCGCCTTTTCTTCATCCAGTACTGAAAAGGAATTGGAACCACCGGGTATTTGCCGGACCAACGGTTTGCGTACCGACGGAGTCTCATACAAGAAAAAGTCAGTGGAATGTAGCGAAAAATGATTAACCAACGTACATCCATCAAATCATCCGAAAAAATTCCCACCCATTCGGAAGTGCTCTGTATTTAAATGACATGCAGGTAGGCTTCTTGCACGACCCACTCGTCGAGCCGATCGTTGATACGGAACCAGCATTCGTACAGACCGGCGCCTTCCCATGTGGCACTGTTAAGCTTCAGGGTGGAGTTGCATAGACACTTTCCATTTTCGCCAAAAGTGAAATAGCCGTTAAATCTATAGGGCGACCTGGCGGTGACCGCTACCTTTGCGATGGATCCGGCCCAAAGCAAATAGACTCCTTTGCGCCACAGAAAGCGGTTCTCAAAGGAGCCGGGGAGAAAACTGAAGCGGACCGCGCAAACCATCTCCGCCGGGTCGCCATAGCGGACGGTGACGTTCTTCATGGGCGGATCGAAGACTTTGTGGCGGATGAGGGTCGCGCTGACCCAGTAACGCTTGGTCACCACCAGCTGGCTTCCGTTAGAGTGCAGGCAGTCGTACAGACCGGTGTAGACGTACGAGAAGTGGTCCAGCTCGATGGTGAACGCACCCGTTGCCACCTGGTACCCGGACACCGTCAGCGACCTAACAATTTCGTTGTTTGTGCAGTTGCAGCAACGATAGGTTTCATTAAGCGGTTCCCAGGTCAATGCGGCCCCTTTAATAGTGTACTGCACTCCGTTGTATGCGAATGCCGGTGGATTCGCAATGTGGGACACCTGTGGGCAATGCCGACACTCAGTCAAAATTGATTCAAAAGGACAAGATGAATTCAACTGCGAATTGACCATTTTGCCGCAGCTTTTGCGGCAAAATAGTCTTTTGCTATTTTGCCGCAGTATCTTCGGCCAGTTAGTTTGTTGGCTATTTTGCCTCACCGCAGGTTTTCAACTTGTCAGCTATTTTGCCGCCGTTTGATAGGTAAAACCTAAGAAACCTAATAAACCTAAGAAAGCCCAACATGATTATTTTGTAGGTTGTTGGTGGACTTGCATTAATCAAAAATTTTAAAATAATTCAAAAACCACGCGGATCAAACAGCATGCTGTTTTTCGAAGCAAACTTCAAAATGCCAATTTCCTCCACCTGCCATTCTTGGACAACAATTTTTATTGCAAACGAAAATTTCGAAAAATCGGCTTTCACAAATCGCAGGCGGTTCATGAAGAGAGGTAAACGCACCCGCACGGGAACGCGCGCCACAATATAACTACGGGCAAACTAAATAAACCACTGCAGAGGGCACCTCCTAGAAAACAGACTTTCATACCGTCCCACAGTAGTAAAAATTTAGAAGCGTCTCGTCCATTTTTGTCCAGTTTCATTTCTCTTCCCAAACTGAATTTCGTCACAAAATGGACATACTTTGGGCGACCAAATTTTATCTGTTATGGAATATAACGTTCCAATTCCGCTGCAGCGGAATTGTGAAAAACGCGTGTCTGCTGTTGAGACAGTGGCGGGGTGGTCGGTTCAGCAGTGGTGGGTTCTTACCTTTTTTCATAGACTATGTGCTAAGGTTTTTTGGAGTTTTCTTTCAGACGTAACTTTTTCTTTAAAAACTGACTTGAGATGGCAAAGCTCCACACCAAGGGCTATCGATTGATACGTAGACGTGGAAATCTGATTCAGTGGATCGGGTTGACGTACGACCCACGTACCCGACTTAGTGGGAATTTCGTTAAGGCTTACGCGATTATTATATAGTGATGATAATGGAGTCTTAATGCCGTACCTGCAAGTTGTTCGGGTTGCTACAAGGAATGAAGAGTTTGCCGCCTTCGGGGACTCGAATGATCTCCGTCTGCGGTGGCCATTCCGCTACAAGAAATTTCGGAGATCCATAGCCGCGCAGATGCATGGTGCCGCTGCCGTTGCTTTCTTTGGCTTCGTTCAAAACCTTATTCACTACAGTAGACAGAAAAATTACGGAATCAATGCAACAAGTGGCAGCTGCATGTTCCTTTCTGCTGTTTGGAGGCTGAAGTGACATTTGTTCGTACTCCACATACGTACAGCAATACACACCAAGTAAACTCGAAGCAAACCGAGGACAACTGCAGAATATTGATTATTAAAATTTTTAGAAAATAATTTTTGAAAATGTTGCTAAGGTATTTTGGCTACAGGGGCGGTCGCCCCTTCCTTGTCGATTTTTGACCGACGGGGGTAAAGCCGTCGAAAATATTGCGCAAGATATTCTCGCGCGGTTTTTTTGTCGCTTAAACTTTTTGTTCGTAACTTGATTATTGTGCCGGAAAAACCTCTCGCGCGTAGTCAATACTCAAAGCGCGAGATACTCTCGCGCGTAACCAAAACTCATAGCGCGGGAGTGTTTTGACATGACCTTTCTTTTTTTCCATTCTGTGGTGGATGAGTGTACGTACGTGCACTCATACACCACACATTCATTCACTCCAAATTCTTTTCTCTGATTGCAAATTTCATTTCAAATCAGTTTCACTCCATCATTTCAAAAATGCCTCGACCAAACCGATGGAATTTCAGGCAAAGTCCTCACGGCGGCCATATTATACTTCCGCGTCCCAAGAGTACGAAGCTATGCAAAACGGGAAACAAAGCAGTTTGTTGTGCATGTAACCGCCAGCCAGAGAGGCTGCTGTTTGTTAACCAGCTAAAGTTGTCCACACAAGCCCTGCGCTCAGTGTGCTGCCACTGCTGCGTCCCGTTTAATTTAATTTCCTATTTCAGTGCGCCGTTGGGGCGGATGGAGTTTCCTGCCAAGGCCAAGCAGCGCTCTTGAAACATTAAACCGCTTCTTGTGCTTTATTCTTCATTTTTTCAACGGAAGAATTGCAAAAAAGCCACGTCTACGTTTTACAACGAAAATGGAAAAGGAATAAAAGGGAATTTAGAAAAGTTTGCACGACACAAACCGCATTACGCTGCCACGCCGGGTGGCTGCCATTCTGTCGCTGATTTCCTGTCGCTGATTTCCTACAATTTTCCTGTGTTGTATTTTAATTCCAAGCCTAAGTGATTTAAAAAATTGCCTTAGAGAGGAATGGGATTAATTCCACAAAAGCACAGACCAACTTGAACGAAATCATCACCCGTGTGCGTTACAAGCGATGCGTCTGGAGCGATGCGTCCTACCTGTTTTTTTCGGCAGTGAAAATCAGACGAAGGTCAATGGCGCGGTGCGGTAAACTTGTCCAGTAAAATCGCTCCGACTTGAGCGGTGTTACCGTATTAAAACATGTCACCGCAGCGCACCGACTGACGGCAGTCACTGCACTATACGACATACAAATGCCTAAAGCTTCTTCCCTACGTACGTAAAAGAAACTGATTTGCATGAACATTATACCGAGTATAATTTTTAATCCCGACGATGGTATCTTCCCTCTTCCCTCTTGATGCGCGTTCCAACAAAAAATAGTACAATAAAGCTGAACAAACGAAGATGTTTTAAAGAAATATACGCTTTCATGCGAATTATTATTTCCTATTCATTTTTGTTTTGGCACCGGTGCACCGCTAATTTTACCGACAGTACGCTGGATTCTCTTTTTTTTATACAGATACACCGGTGGAACACGACGCAACCTTTTTCCGAAAACTGCACCGACGTCACGAGCATTTTCAAACAATTTCACGGCGATTTTTTCGAATTTAATTTAATAATTTCTTCATTTCCGAATTTAATTTAATTTTAAAAATTTAACAAATAATTCAGGTATTCAACCTTATCAGTATGTATGCAGTCTGTACTCTGCGGCAGGTTGGTACAGCAGAAAATCAGTCAGATACAACAGATGTCCACAGAGTCTGGCTGAGACAATTTCTGGATACGACCGCACGAATCGTATTTTGAATAACTAATTATAATAATTATTATCATCATTATGACTACAGTAGCCAGATTTTTTATTAATGGAGACATATTATTATCAGGCAACTGGAAAATTTTTGGGCAGTTTAAAAGAATTTATATTTTTTTGAAAATTTGATTTTGTTAGATAGAAGTTACCCAACGTAGATATTTTGAAAAAATAATCTATCAAGGCAAATCGTCCAGTGGGACATGTAAAGAAAGACTTTTCCTAAATCTAAATTCCTGGAAATTAATGTCCTTTTTTTCCGAGTGCAGAATTTAGAGAGAAAGAGCTCCGCTTCCCTCGTCACGCCAAGCGACGCACGTTTTCCTGTGAAATAAACCCGAAATTCCATGAAAAACTTTTCGAAATAATAATAATTAATCATAAAACTTTTCGAACATTATTATTTTCCACACCCCGCCCTTGACATAATTTTAAAAATTAGAAATTTTTCTAATACAGTACACCGGAATTGGACAAGTATCTGTAAATTAACACGACGCACAGCGCGGTGACAAGTGACAACTGCAAAAATGCTTACAGCTGCATTTTAGCCTAACCAAATCCAGTCTGAGTGCCTGTTTAGGGAAACGTGCTCCGAAACAGAATAATCATCCCACGCCTCGCTGAACTCAAGGAGAAAATCTATTTTTCTTGTGCATAATTACATTGTACTCACGATTGATTGGCGATGTCTTTCGATGGGGACATCCGGCCGAAAAGTGCAGCTGCAGTAGAAGCAGCAGCAACGTTTGCAACGACCAGCAGTTGCATGCTGGTGACAACCAGAGGCTGCCAGTGCCTCTTTTCCCTGCGCACGCAGACATCCTAGCGGCGGCCAGCAGAATAACGCTACCTGGATGATAATGATTTTAATGATTACAGCAGAGAGACCAGATTGCAGAAATAAAGGCATAAAATAATATATTAATCATTTAATCTAGAAATTCAAGTTGTTTTCACTAATTCATCAGCACATAGCAGGCTGTAAGCGTTACGTAAACAACCGCGCGTGCAGCTTGTGCCATTTGCAGGCACAACGAAGAAAGGACCAGTGGCGTGGTAAGCTTACCAATTGGGCGCCCATCGCTCGCTCCACTCCAAAAGGCTCCGCAGATGTCCCACCATCGACCGCTCGTTACGCGGCTGCAAGACAATCAATAAAATAATTCGGGCATATGCTGGTAACAGAGTGAGAAGAAAAACTGGTACCAAGAGGCAAGAGGGCCCTGCTGCTGTAAAAGTAAAATACATCCTAATAGATTCCCAATACAGAAACTAAACATATCACACGACATAATCAGGAACGGCACAGTTTCGCAGATGGCATCCAAGTTTACACGGATGCGATCAGCTGCTTGACTTCTTCCAAGCTGTTCCGCGTCCCCCTTCGTAATTGTGGAGCGGTCCAGTGAGCGTTCAGCGCCCGGAGGTCTTTGGCTTCGTTCTCTAACGATCTATCGATTTTCCACTGCATGCGTTGCAACCTTTCGCTTAGTTTGTGCTCTTTCCTGAGTTTCCACGAAGGTCGAATTTCTTTATAGACAGTTATCTGAGTGTCGTCAAAGGACTGACAGTAACATGTATCTTTGACCACCTTCTACATATTGGCTCTTTCTTAGAGATCATACAACTACAAAGCATTCTCTTTAAGCACATCTTTTCGATACGTAAATCAGCATTATAACAGCCGAGATACAGTATTTGTTTCTCGAAGCTGACGAGTTGCTTTGGCTGGTCTTATTTGGTAGCGCCTCACGGCAATATAGGCGCATAATATACAACATCCACATATGTAAAAGCATTCCCAAGAAAATCGCAGCGGAGACAGAGATAAGCTCCAGGGTTTCATATGACTGATATGAGTGAATGGTGTCGTCCAGAGAATCATTTTGCGCGCTGGCTGACGTCAGTAGATTTGGATGCCGGGATATGTACTCGCATTTCTCTCCATGGTATGGCGACAAGCACTGGCATTTCGGGCCGGATTGAGTGGCGACACAATACACATAGACCATGGGAGCCGCAGAAGTTTGTCGTACATTCAAGGATTACCTTTTCGCAATCTACTGCCTGATGGAATCTTAAATAACGTACAGCAGAAATGCTCAATTTGCTGCACAATAAAATGTGTCAAGCTGATACTGAACACGATAGTGTCTTTTTAACATCGAGACGCGATAAATTAAATGGTTCTTTCTTGAAAACCCAGACTGCATTGGCAGTGGTAGTTCCGATGTTCTCCAGACACATTAAAACAACTGGCGCCATTCTGGCACGGATTATCCGCACAGTTCAGTTTGCGTACACACTCAAACTGCATCATGACCTGCCCCGCTGGGCAGCGGCAGTAATACGTTCCGGGGCACTGATACAGCGTGCTCCGGTAGATAGGGTCGCACGTGTTCTCCACTGTTTCCTTATGCCGGTCCCGGAAACCATCGGCATTCGGCATGTGTAATCTTCCGTTTCTGGGCCGTAATATGTGTGTGCATGTTCTGCCATTGGAACAGTGTAGATATTACTCGTATTTTAATGTTTTTGACGAATACATTTACCATATTTAAATTGCTAATTTCACTTCTGTTTTGTTTATTTTCCGTGTTGCCATAGGAATCATAGAATCATGATCATAATAGTGAAAGTAAACATGAGCGGTGTCGAACAAATTCGCCATCAGTAACCTATATCCGCATACAATAAATCTGAAATTCAGAGTAAATGCATACTGTTTTGACCTAACACCGTCAACTCATCACTCAACTCAATTAGGAAATCCATCAAAACGGTAACCCCATATAAACTCACTGTACGCTCAAGAAACTACAAAATCAAAAAACCGTTCTTAGGTGACTCGTTGCAGCAGCCCCCTTTGCTTCTTTGTTTCCTTCTTTCTGTTCCTCTTTGCCACAGCTCGACGCACGCCTTTACCAGGACAGCTCGCTCATCAGCGTAAACCGTCGAAAACGCAGTTCACTCAGTAAAGCATACACAGTGAACCGCGTCAGTTTCTTCACATCCAGGCGGGAGAGGAAGTCGAAGTGCGTCTCGGCCAGCGCCGGAAACAAAACGTGATTGTAATGGTTGTTATCACGCGGATCCGGCATCTGTATCTTCATCAAAACCTGAAACAATGTCTTGTTATATTTAATATTATGACGCTTTCAGAGACAATTATACTGTGAGTACATTTCATCGGTTTACGAATGGCGGAATTTTTAGATGTACGAGTAACTTTATCGGTGTGCATTCGACTGAAATGATACGAAACACAGCTATTGGAATCGGCAACTCATTTTCCTGTTGTCTTGATAAGTAATTGGTTTTACTTCAGGTTTTGCAACGCAGTCGTTGGGACCAAATGCGTATTCTCTCAAAGATGTATACTTTACTTTAATATATACTTAACTTTACTTTAAAGGTGTATACCTTACTTTAATAATAGCTAAAAAAAATAACTGACCTGTATTATGCGCTTGTACCGCGAGTAGTCTTCGCGTTGAATCGTCCCCTGTATCCAAGTCGCGACAGTCTCAAGATCGTCGTCCGTTGGGGCCGGAAAACTGTCATCAATCAGCCCCCAAAAATCATTCAACGACAAAGACCGATCCCTTCCGACGAACCCTTGGGCGATCACCACTTGAGACTGCTGGCTCTTATTCAAGCTTACCAAATTAATAGTTAAGTTGCGAATTACCAGGACTTCACAAATGGATGCAAAAGCAGTTAATTCCGCATGCACGCCAAAAATAAATTCCGAGATTGGGCTTTCCTTAAATTTTCCACTGAAGACATTCCATTGCTGATTATGGAGAATGACCATTCGAGCAGGCTGATAACCTTTCTCTTGTAAAATGCGCTGAAAAACAATGGCATTGACGGTTGGTTGTTTGTGTTTGAAATGCACCACATGCGGAGAGTTCGTGATGGTGATCAATTTACTCCAGCGGTGGCAGATGCTAGCGGCGTTCAGGTACTCCTCTTCGGCTGCTTCCTCTGCTGACAGATATCCATACTCCAGACTGGTTCGATTGCTTAAGATAGGTAACGCCAGGATATCATTCCACTTGTTGCAAACATTGCGGATTCGGCACTGCTGCGCAGTATTCAGATATTCGAACATCTCCGTCAAAACTGATATGGTCAGCGAACCCAAACCGCTCTCCAACGGTTCCACATCATCCGATTTGCGGCGTTTGCTAGCGCCGATATGCTCATCAATTATTTTTTGTCTCAGCTTCCGTTTTCGGCATCTTGCTGAACAACTGTTCTGGTTTTTGTTTTGCTACGATAATAAACGAGATTTTACAAACAACCCTAAGAAACATCCAGCGAGTTACAGACAATACAGTACCGTTGTCATGTGGAAATCGCCTTCCGTAGCCAGTACAGCCAAGTTTCGATCAAAAGGTGCATGAATGTGCTTCCCACGAACAATGGTGATGATGATCCCATCTGGAAGTGCCACTCGCACCAGTCCGAAAGAGCACATCGCAAAATCGCCCATCAGCAAAGTCGCAGGATATCGTTTGAGCGTCACTTCTCTCCCTAAGCTCATTTCCGCTTCCACCGCGAACTGTTCATTGTGGTCTGCATAGGGAATAAAGTGATTCAAAAGTTAATAAATTTTTAATTTCCAATAGAGCGATAACAATATCAAGATTCAGTTACACTTAAACAAAACAACATTTTCCACGGTACCAATAACAGAAGCGGCATTTCCTCTTTGAATAGCTAAAGAAATGTTCTGCTTTAAAAACTCATGGCTGCGAATCTCGCCTGTTTGTAATTCAACCCTCTTTCCGACTTCTTTAACCAGTTTCTTGGCTGATGAACCAAAACTACCAAAAGTTTCGAATCCAACAGCAGCGAACTCATATCGTCCTGACAGGAAGCTGTATTTTTGCACTTTTTCAGCTTCTGCCTGGTCGGCTGCCGCTCCGGCCCTTAAGCTGGTGTGATCCAGATAAGAGCGCGCGACGGTGTCCACACAGGTTACATCCCAGGCCAAACACAGCCCTCTCGTCCAGGGGAAAGTGGTGATTCCGTCTGGGTAATCGCTCTTGCTACTACACAGTATACACAGTACTACACACTGCACTTTTTATTGATACAATGAGCTGATTCAAAAAGCGCAGAACACCCGAACAAAGCAGATCACAAAAAGGCATGTTTACTAGCTTTATCTAGCCTTGAATCACTGCAGTTACCCATTGAATGCGCATATAGATGATTGGTTTTGCCTTCCGCGCACAAAAAGTTCCAATCCTGCCGTAAATAGATGCTGCCGAACGGGATCTCGCGTCGGGACCGAACTTGACAACGACCAAAATCAATGCGAAGCCCATTTTTGAATGCCGAATTAGGACTAAAACAAACTGTTCCACTTAACAGTTCGCCATCGGTCATAACATCGACCGTCGTAACGCTGCTGCCACCGCGTCGCAGAACACAACATGGCGCAGGAGCCGCCTGGCCAAGTATCTGCTTGCGTGGCAGTGATCGTATGGGACTCCTCCGCCGCTTCGACCCACCCAGCCATGAACACCACATTGTCAAAGTGGAAATAACAGTTTTCAAGCTACGACAGTCTACTTGGGGAAGCTATCAGTAGGTAGGGTAAGTGAAAAAGAAAAAATGATGGCGCGAGATAGCTGGGAAGAATATGGTTGGTGCAATTATTTTTTAATACCAAGAAAACAAACGTACGTTTTCTTTGGCATACCGTCTAGCCATCGCACGACTGAGACGTAGCTCGCCATGGGTTTTCTTACGGGCACCGCGACATTTCGCCGCCGACAACTCGTCGCAGGACTTTTGTTCGCAGACATTTCGTCGCAAGGTCATCTCGCCTTGCGACGCTTCGTCGCCGGCCATTTAACCGGCAGGACATTACGCCGCGAGACATTTTACCGTTCGGCCGTTTTGACGCCGAGCCATTCCGCCGCAGAGCTGTTTTGACGAAAAGTCCATTTTAGCAGGAAAACATTTAAAATACGAAGGCTAAGAACCATAGGAAAACCCTTACAAACTTAAGAATAACCTAAGAAACCTGAAAATAACCTAAGAATGACCTAAGAAACCTAAGAATAACCTAAGGCTAACCTAAGAACAGCCTTAGAACAGCTTAAAAAGCCCAAAAGGCTTAAGAAAACCTCCTAAGAAACCCGGAAAACCTGCGAAAATTAAGCGTGAGGAATGCTTCTGCGGCGAAGTGTCCGCGACCAGACGTCTTGCGTCAAAATATCGCAAAGTCAAAATGTCTCAATGCTAATTGTCCCTAGCCGAAGTGTCCCAGCGTCAGAATGTCCCGCGGCGAAATATCTTCGCGGCGAAAAGTCGTGCGTCGAATTTAATTGCGGCGAAATGTCGCACTCCCAAATGCCCGGGTGCGTTTCTTACGGTAGGTGGCAACTG